GGCATAAAAACGTTAAAAAAAAACGTCATAGTATAGTGAGGCATAAAAACGTCAAAAAAAGTCATGGTATAGTAAGGTATAAAAACTTCACAAAAACATAATAGTATAGTAAGGCATAAAAAGTCATAGTATAGTAAGGCATAAAAAGGCTAAAAAAAGTCCTAGTATAGTAAGGCATAAAAATGTCAAAAAATGTCATAGTATAGAAAGGCACAAAAATGGCAAAAAATGTCATACTTTGGAAAAGGCATAAAAACAGCAAAAAACATCATAGTATAGTAAGGCATAAAACGTCTCAGTATAACAAGGCATAAAAACGCTAAAAAAAGTCATCGTGTAATAAGGCATAAAAACATCAAAAAACATCATGCTATAGTAAGGCATAAAATGTCATAGTATAGTAAGGCATAAAAATGTCAAAAAACATCATAGTATAGTAAGGCATAAAACTGTCAAAAAATGTCATAGTATAGTAAGGCATAAAAATGTCAAAAAATGTCATAGTATAGTAAGGCATAAAACGGTCAAAAAAGGTCATAGTATATTAAGGAATAATACGTCGTAGTATAGGAAGGCATAAAAACGTCAAAAAAGGTCATATTAAAATTAGGCATAAAAACATGAAAAAACGTCACAGCATAGTAAGGCATAATACGTCATAATATAGTAAGGCAAAAAAACATCAAAAAATGTCATAGTATAGTAAGGCATAATTAGTCATAGTATAGTAATGCTTGGAAAAGTCATAGTATAGTAAGCCATAAAAATGTCAAAAAACATCATAGTATATTAAGGCATAATACGTCATAGCATAGTAAGGCAGAAAAACATCAAAAAACGTCATAGTATAGTAAGGCATAATACATTATAGTATAGTAAGGCCTTTAAACACCAAAAAAACGTCATTGTATAGTAAGGCATAAAAATGTCATAATACGTCATAGTATAGTAAGGCATAAAAAGGCCAAAAAAAGTCATAGTATAGTAAGGCTTAAAAATGTCAAAATATGTCATAGTATAGTAAGGCATAAAATGCCATAAAACGTCATAGTATAATAAGGCTTAATTGTCACAGTATACTACGTTATAAAAACGCCATGAAACGTCATAGTATAGTAAGGCATAAAACGCTACAAAACGTCAAAGTATACTAAGGCATAAAAATGTCAAAAAATGTCATAGTATAGTAAGGCATAAAAACGTCAAAAAACGTCATAGTATAGTGAGGCATAAAAACGTCAAAAAAAGTCACAGTATAATAAGGCATAAAAACGTCAAAAAACGTCATAGTATAGAAAGGCACAAAAACGGCAAAAAATGTCATGCTTTGGAAAAGGCATGAAAACAGCAAAAAACATCATAGTATAGTAAGGCATAACACGTCACAGTATGATAAGGCATAAAAATGTCAAAAAAAAGTGATGGTATAGTAGGGTATAAAAACGTCAAAAAAAGTCACAGTATAATAAGGCATAAAAACGTCAAAAAACGTCATGCTATAGTAAGGCATGAAATGTCATAGTATAGTAAGGTATAAAAACTCCAAAAAAACACAATAGTATAGTAAGGCATGAAACGTCATAGTATAGTACGGCATAAAAAGGCCAAAAAAAGTCATAGTATAGTAAGGCATAAAAATGTCAAAATATGTCATAGTATAGTAAGACATAAAACGCCATGAAACGTCATAGTATAGTAAGGCTTAATTGTCACAGTATACTAAGTCATAAAACGCCATGAAACGTCATAGTATAGTAAGGCATAAAAATGTCAAAAAACATCATAGTATAGTAAGGCATAAAACGCCAAAAAATGTCATGGTATAGTAAGGCATAAAAACGTCAAAAACGTCATGCTATACTAAGGTATAAAATATCATAGTATAGTAAGGCATAAAACGCCAAAAAAAGTCATAGTATAGTAAGGCATAAAAACTTCAAAAAAACACAATAGTATAGTAAGGCATAAAACGCCAAAAAAAGTCATAGTATAGAAAGGCATAAAAACGTTAAAAAATCGTCATAGTATAGAAAGGCATAAAAACTTCAAAAAATGTCATAGTATAGTAAGGCATAAAAATGTCAGAAAAAGTCATAGTATAGTAAAGCATAAAACTTCATAGTATAGTAAAGCATAAAACTTCATAGTATAGTAAGGCATAAGAATGTCAAAAAATGTCATAGTATAGTAAGGCACAAAAACGGCAAAAAACGTCATCGTATAGTAAGGCATAAAACGTCACAGTATAATAAGGCATAAAAATATCAAAAAACATCATAGTATAGTAAGGCATAAAAACGTTAAAAAACGTCATAGTATAGTGAGGCATAAAAAAGCTACAAAACGTCATGCTATAGTAAGGCATAAAACGTCATGGTATAGTAAGGCATAAAACGTCACAGTATACTAAGGCATAAAAATGTCAAAAAATGTCATGGTATAGTAAGGCATAAAAATGTCAAAAAATGTCATAGTATAGTAAGGCACAAAAACGGCAAAAAACGTCATCATATAGTAAGGCATAAAACGTCACAGTATAATAAGGCATAAAAATATCAAAAAACATCATAGTATAGTAAGGCATAAAAACGTTAAAAAACGTCATAGTATAGTGAGGCATAAAAAAGTCAAAAAACGTCACAGTATAGAAAGGCATAAAAACGTCAAAAAACGTCATGCTATAGTAAGGCATAAAATGTCATAGTATAGTAAGGCATAAAAATGTCAAAAAACATCATAGTATAGTAAGGTATAAAAACTTCAAAAAAACATAATAGTATAGTAAGGCATAAAACGCCAAAAAAAGTCATAGTATAGAAAGGCATAAAAACGTTAAAAAATCGTCATAGTATAGAAAGGCATAAAAACTTCAAAAAATGTCATAGTATAGTAAGGCATAAACATGTCAGAAATAGTCATAGTATAGTAAGGCACAAAAACTTCATAGTATAGTAAGGCATAAAACATCATAGTATAGTAAGGCATAAAATGTCATAAAACGTCATAGTATAATAAAGCATTAAACATCATACTATAGTGAGGCATAAAACGTCACAGCATACTACGGCATAAAATGTCAAAAAACGTCATACTATGGAAAAGGCATAAAAACGCCAAAAAAAGTAATGGTATAGTAAGGCATAAAACGTCATACTATAGTAAGGCATAAAAACTTCAAAAAACATCATGCTATAAAGGCATAAAACGTAAAAAGGCCAAAAAAAGTCATAGTATAGTAAGGCATAAAAATGTCAAAACATTTCATAGTATAGTAAAGCAAAAAATGTCAAAACATGTCATAGTATAGTAAGGCATAAAAACGTCAAAAAAAGTCATAGTATAGTAAGGCACAAAACGTCAAAAAATGTTATAGTATAGTAAGGCATAAAAACGTCAAAAAACGTCATAGTATAGTAAGGCACAAAACGTCACAGTATAATAGGGCATAAAAACGTCAAAAAACGTCATGCTATAGTAAGGTATAAAATATCATAGTATAGTAAGGCATAAAATGCCATAAAAAGTCATAGTATAGTAAGGCATAAAACATCAAAAAAACGTAATAGTATAGTAAAGCATAAAACATCAAAAAAAGTAATACTATAGTAAGGCACAAAAACACCAAAGAACGTTCTATTATAATAAGACACAAAAATGTCAAAAACGTCATACTATAGTAAGGCTTAAAAACGCCAGGCATGAAAGCTAAGGCATAAAATGTCAAAAAAACGTAATAGTATAGTAAAGCATAAAACATCACAGTAAGCTAAGGCATAAAATGTCAAAAAAAGTAATACTATAGTAAGGCATAAAAACACCAAAGAACGTTCTATTATAGTAAGACATAAAAATGTCAAAAAACGTCATACTATAGTAAGGCTTAAAACATCATAGTATAGTAAGGCATAAAACGTCATAAAACGTCATAGTATAATAAAGGCATAAAATGTCATACTATAGTAAGGCATAAAAACTTCAAAAAACGTGATAGTATACTAAGGCATAAAATGTCACAGTATACTAAGGCATAAAACGTCAAAAAAAGTCATATTATGGAAAAGGCATAAAAACGCCAAAAAACGTCATAGTATAGTAAGTCACCCTTTGAGGAAGTAACATAAGATTGACATCTTATTGAGGGAATATTGTATGGTATACGAATGCATAAAACGAATGCATACGTCAGACATTTTTCCGCCTTTATATACTATGACATTTTTATGACTTTTCATGCCTCACAGCACTAAGGCATTTCTATAGGGCCGCACCATAGTAGAGTAGGTAGAACTGTTACCTCACAGAAGTTTGTGGATTCCAACCGAGTCCTTGGATCTTTCTCTATGGAGTTTGCATGTTCTCGCTGTACCTGCGTGCATTCTCTGTGTACTATGACGTTTCATGCCTTACTATATATGCTATGACGTTTTTTGATGTTTTTATGCCTTAGTATACAATGACATTAAGACTTTTTATGCCCCACTACACTATGACATTTTTATGCCTTACTATACTATGACATTTTTATGACGTTTTATGCCTTACTATACTATGACTTTTAATGCCTTACTATAGTATGACGTTTTTATGCTTTGCTATACAATGACCTTTTATGTCTTTTTATACTATGACGTTTTTATGCCTTAGTATACTATGACTTATGACATATGTGTCCCTATATCAAGAGTGATGTTACTGTATTATTTGCGTATGGGCCTTCCAGAATTTAAATTCAGATCTTATATGTTAATAAAGTGTTTGGTTGACGGCATTAAAATGCCAATCCCTTTGTTAGGTAGGGGTGGCGGGGTTTTTACGTCCCTACCAATGTTCAGACCAAACCTACGCCCTTGATGCAGCTACATATTAATCTGTGTGAACAAGATTAAATCACAACCAAACCTGACTGCAGAGTGTGGATGTGTCCTGGGAGTGACAAACTCAAGTGCCTTTAAGTACATGCATGCTCTCCATTATAAAATAGGCTTCAAACAGTTAGTCACCGTGGTGCAGTGCAGAGCTCTTTGAGGCAGGGGAAGGAGTGAACAGTCTTGCGCCGTTCCTTCTTCTCTCTGCGGACTCTCAGCTCCTCCAGAGTTCGCAGCTCCTCAACCCGAGCTGTCAGACTGTCCACCTGACCCTGCAAAGTCTCCATGGTGCCCGTCAATCTGTTCACAAACACACACACACACACACACACACACACACACACACACACACACACACACGTTTGTACTTGTGCTTGTTATGTCATTAATGACTCAATTCTCTTTTGTCTCAAGATACCATCCTCCTACAGCAGCAATGAGTCACTGTTACTAAACAGAGAATGTGAAGGAGCACATTTAGAAAGAACAAAGGCAGCCACTGAAAAATATTTTTAGCCTTTGGTCCAGTATTTTGATCTGCAAGGAACTTTAATCCCTGATTATGATTAGGAAATTGCTAAAGACAGCAAACGTTTTACAAGTGCTTTATAGCTGCAGTGGTGGAAGGTTATCACACAGTTGTTGTATCATGAACAAAAATGTAGAAAAATAAAGAAATTACACAGCTACTTCTTGACTATTGGAGTACTATCATTTGGTTTATGTTTCTCTGGCTTCAAAACGTCCCTTTAAAGACTTATTTGATATAATGACAATAATCTCCTTGTTAAAAACGTGTTTTTCCACAGTGGAGAGCAGAAGATGATGAAGACAACAGTCTCAGCGTGGATCACCTGTCTATTTTCTGCTGCGAGGCCTTGCTCTCCAGTACCAGTTTCTCATTGGTGATCTCCAGCTCTCTGGCAGTCACATCCAGCTGCTCATACACCTTTGCGTGCTGCTCATTCATCTCCCTCAACATTTCCAACTGCTTGGACAGGTACTGAAAGGGAAACAGGTTTAACATTAAAGTGCTTTGATGAGTGACTTAATACAGCTTCAGCAGTGATTTCTAACCAGGGGGTACATTGGATTAAAATATATATTCATGTTCTGAGTCAGCTGTGACACCTGGACATGACATGTTGAAATTAAAGACTCGTATGAAAACTAACATCTGTGAGCAGATATGAGAGTATGAAATAACTAAAGGGCTAACTGGCTTGACACAGTTATAAATAATGGCTACTGTAAATGTGACAGATAAATGGTTGAAACATTCAGCTTCCATTCAATATATTATTGGTACAAATGCAAACTTGACACACTGACAGTTCAATACATAATTTTATATCAATAATAGTTGAACAACAACCAGTTTCAAATCAATTTAAAAGGAACTTGAGTTCATGTGACAGGGCAGGAACCACTGATCAGTGTAAATGTAATGAAATCTAGTTCATGTTTCTCTGGGGGTTGAATGTACTTAGTATAAGTCACTTTGGACAAAAGTCTCCCAAATAAATGTAATATGATGTAAATTAGTCTGTTCAGCTGTAAGGTAAATCTAAAGATATTAACATATATTTTCAGAGGAATGTATAACAGACATTTGCACTTTCCTGCATCATACAGTAGATTCATGTCAGTAACAGACTCTAGTGAGTTTTTGTTTCATGTGATCCCTTCAGAGTGTTGCTGAGCACACTCATCCTCAGCCACACTTCTGACTAATAATGAGTCTTAAAGCTGTGAAGAGGTGACAGTTTCAGTAATTTCGCATATCATTTCATGTTCACAGAACAAACACTTCTGGTACTCTCTTCTGTGAGTTCCAGATTTTACGATAATTAGCTTGGCACAAAATCAAGAGGGGCCAGTTGATGCCAGGTATTTCTTGTGTAGGATGTGCATGAAATCTGTTATGATTGCACTGACTTGGGCATGCACAAGACAAAAGGTGAGACAAGCATACCTCTATCTCTTGCACTTGGTCCTCGTTGTTGATGTACATCTGTTGGAGGGAGTCCTCCAGCTCCTTGTTGCGTTCCAGCAGAGTCTTGCCGAGCTCCGCTGCCAAGTGCAGGTCTGACAGAAGCCGAGACAGAAGGACAGACATCATCAGCAGGAAACAGTGAGTGTGAGGGGGGACAGGATGAACATTTGGTGCTTTTGAAAATCTGCACTCACTGACATCCACCCTGGACATGAATACAGTGTTTTATCACCACAGTGTGTGGCGTGAGCAGTGACAGGAACACACACACATGCATCATTGTAAGTGTAAAGCACCAGGGACTAGATATTTCCATTTAACGTTTGTTAGATTAGATATTAGATATATTTTACTTTTGGTGCATGTGTTATGTATCCATGTAAACTATTATACATGCCTGAGTGGCGCAGCAAACCCTCGGTTTTATCTGATAAATGTAACAAGCTTCATTAGCTCACACTGTGCACGCGTGCATTGCTACATTTGACTCCAATGCTGCAGAGGGAGGCAGGGACATGCTGTAATTTCCTGTTTCAACAATGCAGAACTGATAACAGAACACTGGCCTGAGCTGCTGAGTGATAATGAGCTGAGTGAGTGTGTGTTTGAGTCGAAAGCACAGAGAGCCTTCACCCCCAGGTCCAGTTCAGTCACAGCACTGTTTCTGTTCCGGACGGCCGTCACATGCAGAGTCTTAGTTGCGTAATTTCTGAATTATGCGCACGGATGAGAAGCTATGTTGAGGAAATATCAATCACCAGGCACCTATGAACACAAAAAAGGCCATCACATCTGTTCAAAGTGCACTATTATGACCTTAAAGACAGTCATGGCCTCTTTACATAGGTGTGTATATGACTGTGTTCATCTGCTTCCTGCACATGCATCTCTGCGATGCTCTTTGATGTGTGACTCTCACGTTCAATCACAGGACCCTCTCAGATGAAGCTGCATCACAAACATGACATCACCACGCCACGCAATCTGCCCACATGTACTTCATATGTTTGCGATATCATAATGAACACAGGGGTCACTAAATAGCAGAGCTAAGAGGAGAGAAGTTGCATAACAGCAGCATCATTTCTGGGGCAAAATGATGCCTGACTATGAGTGTATGCAGAATGACGCTTGTTTGGAGCGGTGAGCACTGACGGCACAAATTCTGCCTCCAATCTGACCCCAAAGCCTGCAATCTTTGATCCCTACTAAGGAGGTCTTGTCTGGGGCTTCCTAATCAGATCAACCAGAGGCTTAATGACTTCAGGCTCATTGCTGAATAATGCTTAGATGAGATACAGATAGCATGGCAACACACACACACACACACACAAACACACACACACACATACACAGAAATATCCACCTGCCACTCTTCTCTCTCTCTATGTACAAAGCGATGATGAGACACAAAGCTGCTTTAGTTCTCTGGGTCAGCAGGTAATCAGGAGATGGGGTGATGCTGAGGCCGGTGCTACAGGAGGACACACACATCTCATCTCTACTCTGCGCTGCCCATGAAAGTGCATCCATTTAAGTCATTACTGAGAGAGCTGATAACACTCTGTATCACATTTCACATTAGCAAAAAGGCAACAATTGCAAACACAATAATTATGATAAACTCTGCTTTTGCCTCACATGTTTATTTAAGGTTAAGGGCTTGACAGCAGGCCTGTCTCGAGGTGCTTCTAAAAAGCCAATCACCGTCCACCCTGCTATAGTCAAATCTTTCACATGAACAAGTGAACATGAGGGCTGGGGCCTGTTCCACTGTTGTGGCTCTTACCAAGTCTTTTCTTTGTTCAAAAACTTCCACGTCTACAGAATTGGGGAAATGTTCTGCATTCTTCTTCCCACAATGGCCGGCTTGTTTTGACCTTTGGTAGGCACACACACGCACACCCTACATGTCACTACCTCCCCACAGATGATCTCTATTTTCACATCTTCTTTGTCATCCATCCAGGCCCACGAACTCAGCAGAGTGAACATAAAGTGTTTGATAGATTTGAAAAAAAAAAAAAAAGAAAGAGAGAGGATAAAGCGAGAGGAGTGCTAAGATATAGATGTGGCCCGGCAGGGAAGGAGATGAAGCAGAGGCAAGAGTTACTCAGTCAGACTATTCTGGGAAACATCACTGACATGATGAAAATAAGTGGCAGGAGAGGAGAGCAGAGATGAAGGGCAGGCAGCTCCAGGCTCAGTGGATAGACAGAGACAGACAGAGACGTGGGTTTACAGTTATCATAGTGCGAGCACTTGTGCATGAAATGTGTTTTTACAAATGGATGTAACCTCCTCCCTTCTTTCCATCCAACCCCTCCTGCATGAATCCATTTACCCAAAATCCAATCCAGGGAGCCAGGGATATTGTGGAAGGGGCATTGTTACACCCTTTGCTCGCGCCACACAAACCTGAGACAGGAGAAATGATGTCTCACCTTGCTCCAGATCCCGCTGGTCGTACCACGGCTCCTCTTCCTCAGTGACAAACTCCTCCATCCTGCCCGCGCGTAGCATCGATGCTGATGAACTTCTCCTCCTCACCGGCGATGTGATCTGCTAATTCACAAACGGCTTTCCCGGAAGTGACAACAAACAACAGCGGTGCTGCCTCCCCAAGTGTGTAACCCTTTGAGACAATTACCTAAGGAGAAAATCCCGGCAGCGCACCTGCTTCTGGATCCATCTGCAGATATGAGAGAGACCGAGCGAGCGGAGCTGCAGTCATGAAATGAACCGGACTGAGCAGCAGCTGCTAAAGAGGACCACAGTGCTTCTTCTGTTTGTCTCACCCGTCTTTGATGTGCAGCAGGGCCTTACAGACACAGGCTGGCAGCCCGGCTTCACCGCTCTGTGGCCGAGCGCTGCCGCTGCTGCTGCGTTCAAGCACCGTCGGAAATTCTGCGAGAGATGTGGGCGCCTTAACTCTTTATGCTGCTGCTAGAGCACTGCCTTTTGCCTCTTGTCTTATAACTGCTGTCTGAGACACCTGAACACTGGTTTGACTCGATCATCACTCGTTGGTGAAGCTTACTGACTTAAAATCTCGCGTTTATTTATTTAATGTTATGTCTGTCCTTCTCTGTAATACTGTAGTCCTGCTTGACCCCAGATATGCTCTGTGGTAATTAAACATTTTGGTTTAGTAATATGAAACAAAGCAAAATATTAAAGCAAAAAACTAGATTTTGACTCGAGGGCCTTCCTCAATATTACATAATTATGCAGGATCCACTTTAACACCCCTATCATTTAAGTTGATACTGTTTTAGTGGTCCATATTCCGAAAAAAAGACATTTTCTAATAATTTAGTGCACTTAAGCACAAAATAATCGGTAATTACAAGCTGAAAAAAGATACATTCTATTTTGAAAGGTTTCTTTTTTCACAAAATAGGCTTTCAATAGCTGATTTCACCTACCAAGTACTTTTTGGCCATTTGGATTTCCTCTGCCCAAGATGGGACAACATCAAAAACTAGACTGCATTTAGTTTTAAAATGTGTCTCTAACACCACAAACACTAGTGCCAATCTTTTTCTCAGTGAATATAATCATCTAAAATAATTTACAACCCTTCTACTTAATTGTCTGAATGAAAATACATCAGAAGTCGGAAGTTACATGGAGCGCCTGAAGTTAGCACTTATGGAGGTGACGTCACCCTTTATTTGACACATAGACTGTATTTGACATCGTCCCTGGCACCGACATCTCCTCCCTCCCTCCCTCTCCATCCCACCCAGAGCGCCAATAAGTTTGATTGTCCAACAGAAGACATGAGCAGTTATTAATCAAGACACAAAAAGGGACGTCTCACACTGTTTGTCTGTTCCTGTTCAGCATGGTCTTTATTGTAAACATTTAGGAGCAAAGAGTAGACAAACTATGGCTGTTCAGACTCTATACAGTCAAGTCTCTGTGTCCATCAGTGCCTCAAGTACTCTTTGGGTTTTCCTCCTGTCTTGAGACAGAAGCTATGGCCTCTCACAGTCCTGACAGGCACTATAACATAAAGAGCATTTCCCTCATTGGAAACAATATAGCTAACAAAGACAAAAAAAAAAAACATCCTTCAGCACACATTATCCTCTTGCTAAAGCTGAGAGACAACCTACGACAAATCTGAACTTAGTAAATAAGTAAAAGAAAATACATGTCAGTTTTTCATCATACAGTATGTGTCATTTATGTCCATTTGCTTCCTGCTCTCTGTTCTGTAGTCCAGCAGGCAAAGAGAAAATATGTAGCAGCAATAAAAACATAGCACTGCACCATCTGGTTTATGTCAAACATTCATACATTGTTCCAGTGTTTTTGTATGCTTTATCCCCATTTACTTCAAAGTATGTATACTTCAAATTTGAGTCAACCACTGGCACAATGTTTTTCTAGCCAATGATGGTGGTAAGGCTCTATGGATGGAAGTCAGTTGTTCTTTCGGCTGGTCCACCACCTTGGTCCAGATTGAAATACCTCAACAACTATTTGGTAGATTGTCATGTAGTTTGGTTCAGACATTCATGGTCCCCAAAGGATAAACCATCAAAACTTTCCAGCTCTGTATGAAAATCAACTTGCAGAGACTTGAAACATGCTTTACTGCAGGTATAAGTGCAGGTGGAAAAAGAGAAGAGTGCAGTACCACAAAAGTCCCATACAGCATTCCTATATTGTGATATGAAGTCTGATTGCTGCCTGCAGAGGAGTGATGTAAAACTGTATGCTTCGGTCAGCAGAAATTTGAAATGTACACAATTTTCAGACAATGGGGTGAAACATAAAGAACACTTGTCATGTTAGTGCTACCACCGCTCTCGCAGGCTTTAACAGTCAATATTTTATTGCTCGATTATTGACATAAACTACCATAGCAGCAACCCGCCTGGAAAAAAGCAGAACTCTAGCAGCAAATCAACCATAAACCTGGTCGGCAGGCGTCTGTGACGAAGCCTGAGATTACTGGAACAAGAGGCACTGACAAAGAGGAAGTGTTTGGCCCTAAAAATGGCTACGTTTCCCTTCCCGTCATTCCTTGTTCTCTGTGGTTTTACAGCTGTGTGGTCTTTTAAGGTGCTTCCAGTCCGCCTCGCTCTCGCAGCGCTGGACTCTGCTGAAGAACTTCTTAATGAGAGCTTTGGCTTCTGCTTTAACTGTGGACACAAATACAAGAGTCAGAAAACAGTCCATTGTTTGTAGCTGTGCAATTCTGGGGTGTTGTTTATTATTTTTAATGATGTATCCCCCCTGCTTACCTTGGCCTTTTCCCCGACTCCTTCCTTCTGCAAGAAGGTGAGACAAGTAGCGAGCAAAGGACTTGAACAGCTCCTACAACCACAGAAAGCAACCGCGGAGAATTCATCAGCAAACAAGTCAAGCCTGTCTTTTCATTTCACCTTGCTGCTTCTCTGCAAATATGAAATGATAATTGCCTCTCTCACCTTGGTGGCAAACTTCCCCTGAGTGTAAAAAGGGTCCAGGTAGCGGACCACAATGTCGGCCGCTTCCTTCAGCGTCACCGGCTTCGGTGGCTCGTTCACCGGGTGCAGGGCCCTCTCCTGCACGTTAGGATTGAAGGTTACTCTTCTGGTGCTGCCATTGGTGGGGCGGCTGCGCTTGGCTGGAGGAGACGACTCTCTGTTGGCTTTCATATCATCTGTCAGCTGGAAATATACAGTATGTATCATCATAAGTTACTGAGCAGGAAATAAATCTTAAGACTGGAGAGGAAACAGACACCTACCCCTTGTATTAGAGCTGGTTTAGCTTCTTCCTCTGGTTTGTTTTGTCTGTGAGGGGGAAAAGCAAATTTGATGAAAGAGGACTTTTCCAGCAAAGTTGTCATAAAATGGCTGAAATCACTCTGTGGCAGACCTTATATCCTCTTTTGATGTGTCTTGAACCTGCTTCAGCTCTGAAGTCTCTGTTTCATACGTTTCCTCCTCCTTGTCATCAATTATAACTATTACTTCTTTTTTTATTTCTTCTTGCATCACATCCTGAGTCTCTGATTCCACAGGACTGCTCTCTGCAGCGTCCACAGTGACAGGTGAGTGTTCCTGCTGGCAGGTGAATTCTTCAGGAATCACAGTGGTAGTTTGAGGTAACGTAGTATTAAGTCCCTCCGGCTCCTCCTGGCTTTCTTCTGTTGTTTGTTTCTTTGCAAAGTACTGGGAAATGTTGCGGGTACTTTTTGCCGCTTCTGCCAGCTTCTGCTGCTTCTTGCTCATGGCTTTGCCCCCCTTTGTCGGGCTGTTCATGGAGGCAGCAACTGCATTTGCTCTGGCTCTGATAGACGATGTTACAGCCGAAGATGTATCTGTGTTCATGTCTTTTATTCTCACCTTGACAGATGACTCTCCAGAGCCTCCTGAGCTGTCATTGTAAAACCCACCACTCTCTGACAATTTGTTAGAAGCAGTGTCCAACATGGAGGACTTCAGCAGATCCTTGGCAGTCTGGAAGGGGTTGGAAGAGCCCCTCTGGCCTGCCCCTACCCTCTTACGCTTCAGCTGGAGGAATAATGATAAAACAGATACATGTTTATATCAGAAAGTTAGTCTGCAGCCACAAGAACCCGCACTAATTGCTTCTAAACTAGCTGAAGAAAGTTTCTACTAAAGTGATCTTACTGAGTAGACTTCAGATGCAGATGTGAACCCCTGCATCTCCTCAGAAAAGGATGAAAAAGAGGAGGAGGAGGATGCTTCCCCTTTGAGTTTCGACTCAACTTCTCTGGATTCACTGCTGCTGGTAGTCTTGTCACCTTCTCCTCTTTCTCCTCCAGCTGAGGGAGTTGCCCCTTTCTTCATCTCTGACACCTTCAGAATAAGAGATGTGTCAAGGCATATATTTTCCTTACATGAACAGCAGAACAGTCGGGAGTTACCTTCTTTAGTACGGCTGCTTTGTACAAGTTGGACGACTTGCTGTTCTTGAAGACCTCGTGTTCGAGATCCACCGCCATGGACGGAGTGTCACAGCTGAGAGGTGGAGAGGAGATGAAGACCAATGTCAGGTGTCAAGTAATTTTCTTAAGAAAATGAACTATGTATAAAAATGATGCTTGGAGCATGTATCTGCACAATTACTTGAATGTGTCTTCTGCCCCCTGGTGGCCATGTAACGCCTCTTCCAAGAGGTACAGGCAGTGCTCTCTGGCCTGAAATATAAAGTTAATTAACAACTGAATAAATAAAAACAAACAGTGATAAGATAGAATGGTGTGTAAATAAAGGCTGTAGGTGTTAATAGCAGAAGAATTATAATAATTCAATCAATTACAAAGACATTTGAGTGGGTGATATGTTTGCACACAGTTCAACACCAAAGCAAAAAGGAGCAAAAATGGCTAAACTTTGTGGACACATGAGTTCAGATATGCTCTGTAATTACATCAATTATGTTTCAGCAGAACAGAAAATATCCACATTTCAGATGCTGAAGCTTCCCACTTCTACTGTACAAAATGACATCGCTTGTAATACATAGGTGGGCCACAGTGGCAGTATTTTATTTTCATCTGCTGCAGTCTCCTTTTCTAAGCTGTAGAAGTGCTGTATATTTACAGCGGTGGGGTTGTATTGCTCAGTTGCAATGTCTCCCTTCACATCTCGCGACACATGAGTCACTGAATTCCTATAGACATGTTAATGAATGGAGAAGGTATGAGGAATGTGTTTGTGGCATTCAAGTGCTCCATTGTACCTTTACAGTGAGCCTGGGGATCCTCTGGCTGCTGGCGTCTTTGAGTAGGCAGGCAGCATCTGCACAGAGGGACACACTGCTTATATGACAGTACACATTGGCCCGAGTATTCATTTATAATGATTTGCTTCTTTATTTATATTACCTGGGGGAACAAAGTCCTCCCTCTGACCTTCAGTTCCCTAAAGACACACGAGCACAGACAGGAGTCAGTAGCTAGTTCTAGATATTCTACTAAATGAAAGAAACTTCCAATCAAACAGTGCATTTTTGATGGGTGATGTATTATTTTAGAGAAGTGACACTGGCACACTTCCTCCATCTCTGCAGCATAACTGCTCAACTCCTGACGAGATTTATAATTAACATCACCCTGAACCTCTCTACTGCCAAATGAGCACATTTAAATTTAAATGTATCTTTTGCATTTGAAAAAGACCCCGTGTCAGCTTGACAGTGACTTTAAGAGGAAATTACTCTTGGTTCTAATTGTGACACAGCAGAAATAAGTATTAAAATGTCCATAGAATATTCCTCACCCACCGCTCCATCTGTCTATCCATATGTTCAGTATGGTTCAGTCATACTTTATTCAAGACATGACTACTGCATATACTGCCATCTTTCAAGCCTGTAAGGGTTGGCTATTTATATATTATGGATGTAACCTGGTAATTCTCTTCAATGTCATTTAAGGTCCCGTATTTTTCACTTTTCCTGTGTTTTATTTGAAGTGTTGATCCATAAGAAGACATACTTGTGGTTTTAAGTACCAAAAACCATCTCAGTGTAGTTTTACATCTCCTCTCTCAGGCTTCTCTCAGAAGCTCAAACAACAACAGGTCGGTGAACCAATCAGAAGAGAGGCTCTGAGCCTCTCTTGCTTGGGGAATGGCTGAGAGCAGTGACTGCTTTGTTGTGACATCACAAAGTTACACAAGTCCTGACGGCTCGTTTTAAGTCACAGTTTCTGAATACAGGCGGGGTGCATTTCTCTGTGGACTGAGCTCTTTGATACAAAGAAGACATGGAATTCTCACTTAATACAATATGGGACCTATTATATTTATATGTAGTTCTTAGCGGTGAAGTGACAATGGTCTCATTAATTTCCATTATGATCATTACTTCTTTATTGTTTAAATTCTGTTTCTACTACTATACAATTATGATGACATTCCTGTTTTCATTTCTGCTGTGTTGTAAACTGGCCAACTTCCACTTGGGCCTGCTGAGGAATAGTTTTTCTACAGTGTTGTGCCAGTTCCACTGAACATGTGGGAGCGATTTACTACAAGCCTCACTTAACAGGGGCCCCAACAACCCCTGTCTTTCTGCTGCCCACAGCTGGCGAACACATGTACAGACAAACAATGCAAACAATGTTTGAGTTGTTTTTCTAGCCCGGTTAAGTTTACATTTCTACAAAAGTTTGTGTGTGTTGGTTATATATTATATTATTATATTATGATTCACCTTCCGTAGGTTCATCTGCTGCTTGAAGAGGTCGGAAAACTCCTTTTTCCTCTTTATGACATCTTCATCGCTATTGCCACTATCCCCTTCATCAAACCTACAAGGTGTGACATTAGTTTGATCTACAGGTTCACCATTACTTTATGTTACTCTGAATCCAAACTGAAGAAATATGACATCCATAGTGGGACAAATGAAATCAACATTTCAGAAAATGTCATTAAAGTTTCCTGCCTCTCAAAGCCGTAACCCTTCTTTCCTCCTCCATAAGCGTCTGACTGGAAACCAAACCGTCCTTTGGGCTCTTTGCTCTGAGCTGCCTCAGTCTTGGTTCTGAGGACAGCCGATTTCTCCAGCTGGGCACGTACAGCTTTAGGGTTACGACAGTAGTCGCAGGCGCCGGCACAGTTTGGTGCCTTGTCACCAAAGAACTTGGAGATGATAGCATGACGACAACTGTTGGGTAGATGAGACACACTGAGTATTACAAACTAAATACATGTAAATGACAGGACGGTGACATTGCTCCTGCATGTTAGAATAAATTAGCAAAACAGATGCAAGACATTGTGAAGCTATCTACATGATAGAGTTTGTACTTAAATGGTCAAGACAAATGATGTTTTTGTGCACACAGCAAGCATCTCTCCATCATACACAAGTGGTTTGGTGAGGTTATCTGGTGCATGACTGATCTATTAGATGTTGTGTAACCATCACACACTGACCGCAATCAATGTTTCTATTATGAAATAAGCCAAACAGGGCTCCCTCTTCACATGGCATAAAAAATACAGCTGCCTGGCAATCAGAAATAGACAGAGCTAACAGACAGGGCAATTAGCCTCTATACCGATATAAAGAATGCATTAGAGCAAATTAAATCTTAATTTGGGAGGTGATTTTTGGTCTTATTTTCCTACACATTAAGGTTTTTTTGGACACACAACCTATTCATTTCTAACAAGAGCTCACCTTGTTCCTGCATGTTATGTGTTTTATTATGATCCCTGCTTTACATGTGATTGTTTCCACTCTTTCTATAAAAAAGCCTCACACTCCTGTATCAGATCGAGTATTATGTAACACCACAACCACACAGAGAGAGAGTGTGTTTGGGAAGCAGCTCATTAAACGAGCCACTTCAACAACATACTAACTACCTTGCTGGAAATGGAAACGCTGTCTCCACAGCCATGAAAGAGAGAGGAGCAGTCTCACCAAAGGAGGTGGGGAAAGACAGAGAGGCGCACAAAGAGTCTGTGAAGCAACAGTCACTCCCAGGCAGGACCGTCAGAGAGAAAACAGCCTTGGAGGCAGACAAACTAACGTGAGGAGCACAGCAGATAACTACTCTACGTGTGTCACTACCAAAAAAAAACAAAAAAAAACAACAACAACAAAAAGAAGAGAGGAAGCCTAAAGACCGAACTAAAGAAAGAGCATAAGAGATAAAAAGGCTAAAAGGAAGGAAAACTTTAAAAAGGACAACAGAGGAGCACTGACTGGGATTTGTTTTTGTGTGTCATCTCACTTTACTTCAACTCCAAGTGCAGACTATCATCTGTACCTGAGGAATTATCCCTCCTAACCCTAATCTCAGCCTGACTGCTAATCTTGGGCAGCGTCTGAGCACTTTTCCTCCTCTGGATGATTTACAGCAGTCAGACATTCAGCAGGTAACTCCTTCAGGGAAAATGTCATGTTCATCACTGTCTCCTCCTCATCAACTAGTCTGCTTACTTCTGTTTTGTCATCTTTACCAGTTAGTCTGGGTTGGCTTGGCTGAGTGTGTGAAAACAACAAAGACTCTCATAGGTAAGTGCCTCTCACAGTGAGTGTGTCTGTATCTGTTTGTGTGTGTTTGAGAGACAAAGCACCTGAGAAATACTGCAGGCTGGGAAGAATGACAAGAATGTGTTTGAAAATACAGACTTCTTATGTGCAAACACACAGAGAAAATTTAAACTAGTCTTCTTTAAAATAAGGAGAGAACTGTAGTGACAGAGTAGTGTCTGAGGGGGTTTTTCACTGTTTAGGTTCATTAAGTTCATTATTAAACCTAACAAAGAGTTACTGTGGAAAAGTCTAAACTGGGGGTCTAAACAAGGTCTAAAATTAACATCCACCAAGCACTGGCTGTGCAGAAATATAATTTATCAATCAGGGTCATCTGCTACAGTCACTTTTATTATGTTGTCTTACAAAAAGCCTAACAGAGGGTTAACCTGTTACTTATGCTGAACGCCCTAAACCACCAGCCCCACCCCCTGTATGATTACCCTGATACACACAATCACTCTCAGACACACACTTGGCTAGAAACATGCTTTACATCAGTTCACCCGAGGCAGTAAAACTCCTGGCTTCCTCTCACTCTAACCCTCCTACTCTCTCTTAAAATCACAAAACCTCAATTAGGCAAAGAAACTGTTAGTCAGCACAACTTCATCATGTTCATGGATAAACAGCAGCAAATTATGTGCTTGTGTCCCACCCACTAAGGGCGTCAGTGACAAGCAACAGGAAGTTATATCCTGATGACACTAAACACAGGCAAATAAATGAGACTGTGTAAACCAAATTTAAGCTTGACTATCTTCAGTGTAAATACATCCACCCTGTTTCTGCCTCGTCACGAGGATGGATGCCAAAGAAGAGACGCTGAACCTCCTGAACAGGATTTGGGTAAAGTTGCAGGGTCTGCCCAGAGCCAACGCTATAGAGGTGGGAGCTTTCTCCATCCTTCTGACCTTCATCTGTGAGTGGACGCTCTCTGTCATAACTGATTTTTTGAATTCTTTAAGACTGAGTCAGTCATGATACTGTTGATTTGCTCTCCTGCAGTGGTGGTCCTGTTCATGATAGTGCTGACCTGCGTGACCTGCTGCTGCTGTCGCAAGACCAGGATGAAGGGACCAAACATCTGAGCAAATGTGCTCCACACAAGGAGAATTTCAGTTCATTATCATCAGGCATCTAAGCACAGGAGATGGTGCACACACAAAAAAATCCCACAAATGCAGGCTTTCGCTGCAGCACCATGAATCCTGTAGAGTCAATGAAAAATCCTACTGAGAGTCATGGTCATGTAATTCATAGGTAAATATTAAAGGTCTATCTCAGTGGAGCCTCATACCGGGTGTGTTCAGGAGCGCTGAAGAGGCCCAACCCTTGAACAACAAAGCACCTGACAAACACAGAGAAGGATGTTCTGACTGGCTGCCAGACACCTGCCAAAGCTGCCAGATTTTCAGGAGAATCCACATTCCTTGGAGCATCTCTGTGCTCTACAGGGCAACAACAATGCCTCTGATCTGAGGAAAAGGCAGAGCCAACCCCAATTGCAACTTTAACAGTGCAGACAAAATATGATGTGGGGAATCGTTTAAAGAAACTGAAGAAGACCGACAGCGGGTTACACAGCTAAATATGAAGGGAAAATGCCAAATTTGTTTTTCTAATGTTTTTTCTTAGGCTGACTATGTGTCATTCTTAAGGTATTAGAATTGGCAGTCAGACGTGGAATTAGGTAAGATCCGCCTAAGAGGGGGAGCTGTAAGTGTTCCTCAGCATATTCTGTACAACATGGCATAAAGACAGATCAAGTCTGCCCTCCACTGTACACAAACTGAAATAGCATGTACGTGATCAGAGTTGTGTAATGTATAAACCTGCATGTTGTATTTGTGCAAAGGGCAAAGCCATTATGTAATGATGTCATGTTTTGACGTTTCACTTATTGTCCTACTTGCTTTTATTTGTAAGCAATAAACAAAAAGTGACTTGCATGCATGTGAGCACTGATTTCTTCACTCACCCTTCTTGCTCACAGAATGACACCATGGCTTCAAAGTCTGTAATGGCTGCTTTGTCTGTCTCCTTTGCACAGCCACGTTTCTCCTATAGACAAGTTGTTCAGAGATGTTCAGATACCTTGACATTAATCTGACTCCTTACATTTAGAGTCCTCTGTTGCTGTGCTGACCTGTCTGCGGGCCACTTCCTTGCGGATGAGGAAAATAATCTGCTCCTTATCTCTCCGGGAGTAGTATGTGCGACACGAGGAGGGCAGTCCATCTCTACCTGCTCGCCCAGACTCTTGGTAGTAACTGGCCAGAGACTTAGCGAGGTTCCAGTGAGCAACAAACCTGCAGGATTAACAGAAACATCAACACATACAATCTTAAATACTGTAACAAAGGAATACAGCAAAAAAACCTCACTGCCTCACCTGACATTGGCCTTGTCTACTCCCATACCAAAGCTGATGGTGGCTACAATAACCAACACCTTCCCCTGCATCCACTCATTCTGGACCTCGGTTCGATCTCCTGCTTTCAGACCTGCAAAACCAGAAGTCAAACACATCAGCCCCAATCCTGATGTTTTCTAATCCTACACATACACATTAGGAGAGAAACACTGCTACCTGCATGATAAGGCTTAGACAAGACTCCAAGTTTGGTCAGCTGGTAAGCCACTGTCTCGCAGCCCTCCCTGGTCCGACAGTAAACAATCCCACAACCCTGTTCACAAATATCAGATAGTGTGAGAAAAACAGCATTCTCAGGGAAAACATTATCAGCCAAAAATTATTCTTCTGCATCAAACTAGAATTTTATGCTGCATAAATACAGAAAAGTGCTCCATACTCAACTGTTAAATATCACAGCTGAGCCGATGTTGGCACTGAGTCCGTTTCATTGTCCTGTTGTAAAATATTCTGCCTTCAGCATATACTGCATCTTTGTCACACCGATTTAAGTTGAATTTGAGAGTTTTTAGGGCTCAAAACTTGTCTGAAGTAAGATGTGAAATCTGTCACAATTACACATTGGAGATGCCTAAGATTTGACATAAGGATTGATGTTAAAATCCATCATATTAAATTGCTCCTCTTTCAAAGAAAATAGTCACAACAGGCTTCTCTACAGGATGTCAAGTATGTATCCTTGGATGAAAAGATTCAGAGAGCTGAGACCTGATTTGACATACAATGTGAACTGTACCGTTATCAAACCTGACTTTCTGCTGCTTTCCACCTCCAATGTTAAATTATTTAATTATTGGTTGCACATGTCACATCTAAGTTTTGCATGTCACTCTCTCATGCTTCATATTTTATTTCAAATTATTCATTCTAGACTGTCATAACTGTCTGTAAACAGATTTTATTTTTTGTTTCATTTCATTTATTATTATCTATAATCACCTTACTTTTGCTCCATTTTTATTGTAGTATTCAGTACTCAGTAGTATTTAGATAGTAATAGTATTGTCCAGAAAATACAGTATCAGTATGTCCTAACAGAAGTCAAGACTTTTTAAGGATTTGTTTCATTTTGCTTGAATCCACGGACTTTAAATGACATAGAAAACCTTAGTCCAACCATAGCTATAATTTTTAGATCCTTTTGTTTCTGTCTTTTCAAATGAGCTGTTCCTTTATGTACTGCTCCAACATGTTAATGTAACTGTTAAAAATATAACACAGAGACCTCACAGAGTCCAGTCCACTGACCTGTCCATTAGACCCGCTGTCCAGTGCCAGCGCCTTCTTAATAAAGGCATGGAGGTGAACGTAGGGGTTCGGCAGCAGCTCCATGAAGATCACATCATAGTGCAAGTTACTGCGGAAAACAGGTGTAACGAAAGATAGGGGCAAGCGCAGCCTGAGGGACTGAACAATGTCCTTTTGTACATTCTCGGGTGCCGTCGCTGTCAGGGCCAAGCAGGGAACTCCAGGCATGCGAGCACGCAGCTCACCCAGTTTGAGGTAGTCCGGTCTAAAATCGTGGCCCCACTGGGAGACGCAGTGAGCCTCATCCACAGCCAGGTAGGACAGCAGGCCACGGGAGCACAGGCCTGTCAGGCACGGCTGAAACGAGGGAGAGGCCACCATCTCTGGAGTGATGTAGAGCAGCTTCAGCTTCGGGCTGCTGCTCTCCAGGTCGGTCAGGATCAGACGGCGCTCGCCTGCTGGGAGCTTGGAGTTGATGGAGCAGGCGGGGATGTTCAGATCCTTCAGGTGCTGCACTTGGTCCTGGGAGGAAACACAGGGAGTGAGCAACACATACAGAGGCAAGAAAAGAAGTAAGTGAACCCTTTGGAATGACCTCCATTTGTTTATAAATGTGCCCTAATATATGGTCAGATCTTCATCTTAGTTACAATTATGAACTAACACAAGCTATTTTAACTAATAACATACAAATCATCGTATTGTTCTTACATGTGAAATGAGCTCAGAGTAACAACTAAAGGCTTATTTGTTTGTTTGAGGTTATTGGTGCCAAAGGAGGTTCAACCAGTTATCAAATCCGAGGGTTCACTTACTCTTTCCACCAGAACTGTGAATGTTCAATCGGTGTGCTTAATAAGCACACAAAAGAGTATGATGAGTGATTAGGGGCACTGTTTGTCTACATTTGTGTGAGGATAAAGATCAGATCACATTTAATGACAAATCAATGCAGAAAACCAGGTCATTCCAAAGGGGTCACACACCTTTTCTTGCCACTGTAACTGACACTGCACACACAATCTGGCAGGTGTCTGAAAGGTTTGCGGAACAGCCGGGGATAGAGACTGACCTGAATGAGGGCGATGAGCGGGGATATAACCAGAGTGATACCCTCAGCCAGCACTGCAGGCAGTTGATAACAGAGGGATTTTCCTGCTCCAGTAGGCATGCACACAAACACATCCCTGTCACCTACACACAGACAACAACACCGTGTCAGACATTACTGTCCCCGTGACAACGACAACACTTCCCGTGAGACACAATTCACACTCAGCTTCATGTTATTGAACGTTAATGAAGGTTCCTTGTTACTGTTAGCCACCTAACGGCAGCTAATTAGCATGGAGCCACAGAGACTAAAACAGCAGTTACATGGGCCGCTGACTCACTCACCTCTGAGGACCGCTTTGACAACATCTTCCTGTAGTTTAGACCTGAAGCTGTCGAACCCAAAGTGGGTTTTTAAAGCCTGTTTTAAACTTGTTGTCATCGTCTTTCTCTCATATAACCCTTTCTAACGTCGTCGCACACCGATGACATCATCATATTCTTGAAATATCCTGAAACTGAAAATAAAAGTTGAAAACAAAGAAACAAAAAAACATGTGTTTAGTGTTATCCTAGCATTCATTCATGACGTATATTTAACGTTCTCTTCTTGTTTTATATTTGTATTAATATGCTGAAAACAGGTGCCACAGTTAGAGCTCTCTGATTGGTGCAGCTGGTGCACGACTTTCAGCTGATCACATGCATGTGATCCAGTATGTGGCCAAAAGTACGTGGACACCCCTGTTTTGGGCACCAAAGGTATATATAGATCTCACACTATAGAAATACTCCATTCCAAGCAACTCCCTTACTCAAGTAAGAATTATCAACAATATGCTCCACATGTAAATATATTTTTCCTATAATATATATTTCATCAGTGTATTATCAGGCTATTATCGATGCTTCAGCATTAACATACAAGCAGCATGTAATGCTGAAACTGGTCGAGGTGAAGCAGATTTTAATACCTTCATACACTGTTGGGTGGTTTAATCTATAGGCTACTGATCATTCAATGATTGTTATATGATGCATGAATAACAACAACATTTGGGTTGCCAGATTGAATGATCATCAGGGATTACATAATGCATCTGAAGTGGTTTTGGCAGAAGAGATGACTTTCAAACAACCATCTGTTCACATGTAATAAGTCATTTTTTGCTTAATGACCAGGAAATCAAAGTGAACCCATTTCATCAGTCTGCTACCTGAGTTAAAAGTGAAGGGAGCCAGAAGACACCTGTCAATATTTTAGAAAAATATTCCACCCAGAATGCTATGGGAGTGTTTAAAAAATATCCTGTGTAATACAACCATGCAGAACAATTAATAAAGCTTATTTAGAAAATATAGTTCATAAATTACCTCAGTTGCAAGCAGACATTGCTATGCTATCTGAGCTGGAATACTGCTAACCACAGGTTTTGATGTAATTTAGGAATATGAAACATATACACACATAAAGTAACCCTAGCAGAGACAGGGAAGAGATGAAAGGGGGAATTATTGTGAGCAGAGAGAAACAAGAGAAGATACTGAGGCAGATAACTGACACCACCTCTTTATTTACCCAAGATAGTGTGAACTAGAAGGGACTGGGTTTGTATATATACTGCACACATCACTTCTCATTGCCATATATTTATTTGTCTGTTCCACCAAACAAACAGCCCTGCACCAATAAACAGACTAGAATTTAAGACACACATTTGCTTTATTTATTATTCACAGAGTGCATTCTCACTGCAGGATTAATATTGCACAATACAGTACATTAATGCTATAGGCTTTGTTTTAAATGTATGAAAATACATTATGTATGTGAGCAAAGGGAAACATGATAACATGGTAACATAGGTTCAGTTGTTGACAAGAGGCCCATTGAACTGTGTAGTATATTGTCTTATTCTGAGAGCTCCGACCTGTTTTAGTGGACGGACTGTAGCGCAACAGACTCCTTCTACGCGGGCAACATGATAACTCTATAGAGAGAAAGTGGCAGCAACAATCACAGTGAAGCAGTAGCAGCATAGAGCGTGGTCACATACTGGAGCTATTGATGGTCTTTTACATCAGGATCTCTGATTCTGATTACAGTATTACATAACCTGGTTTATTATACTTTAACATGATGTCTACTGGATTTGGAAGGAAGAGGTGACAGAAGGAAGCTCAACCCCAGAGGCAGGATGTGGAGCAGAGACATTGGGTCTTAGCTGCTGGGGACTTGATCACCAGATCCTTGATAATCTCCACTGTACCAAACAAGGGGAACAGCTTCTCAGTGAAGCTCTCATTGTAGGTGTAAATGTGCAAGTGTTTGTCGACGTCATAGAAGGACAGCTGGCCATGGTCGTAGTCGAGATAGATGCCCACTTTGCGGGGGATGAGGCCAGGCGGCAGGGCAGTGAAGGGCACAGTCAGCGCCTTCAGCTCAGTGCCCCTCTCCAGCCGCAGGGTCAGGTACCCTGTATTGGTGTTCAGCGACTTGAAGCCTTTCCTCAGGGCTGACTCTTTAGCCACGCCCAGCCGCCAGTCCCGCTCACCGACCTCCACCTCCCAGTAGTGGCGGCCAGAGCCGAAGCCCTCCACCCCGACAGCACACCACCAGCCGTCGAAGCGTTGGTGGTAGTTGGGAACATCCTTCCTCTCAAAGCCACAGCGCATCTTCTTCTCGTCACTGGAGATGAGCAGATCTGGGTTGGCTGTGTCCAGATCCAGAGTCACCTCAACTGCAGGGACAAGTAACAATCTGAATTACCAAACAGGTTCAGAGGAGATTACGTTGGCTGAAACACTGATAGAATGAATCCTGTACCTGCAGCATCTGAGATCCAGTCCCACACTGCAAAAACAGAAGACTTTCATAGTAAGAGATGACAGTGAATGCAGCAACATAATGATGCAAAGCTAGTTTTACACAATCAAAAAACTGTGTTTTCAGTTTGGAGATATAGGTCATATTACCAGTATTTATGGACTGGAGAGTGGATATTGTGAAGATGAGAATGTTGAGGAAATGAGAGATTGGTTGTACTGAAATTTCCCAGCTCCCAAAACTGTATTTGATGCAACTTTGTAACTGTAATTACTGTAAATAATTTAATTTTAAATTTGTAAACACGAAATTATCTTATCATATCCTAAAATGTTTTCTTGTATTAAGGTCTATCAATGTTATAAGCCAGTGATAGAAAATTTTACTTTGCCACTGGATACATCATATACTTGTTCGTTATCTCAGTCTGATTGGACATTAAAAGATTACATCCATGGCCAAAACTGGAGCATCAAGATGGATAGCTTGTTAGCAATGAGAAGAATTAAAAGAAAATAGGGTCAAGAAACAGATAGTGAATCAACAAGTGATCTCTCCCTTCAAACAAAATAGAAAAATTAAGCTTCCCCTGCTTTCAGCTCAGTCCTTAATGTTCGATCGTTCTCATTAAAATAAAAGTATTCTGAGAAGCATTATTTGGCCTCTGTACTGTTACAGCATTGGGTGCGGGCTGCTTACATTTTTGAGATTTTCAAGTGGGCCATGAGTTGGAAAAGATTGCCACTGTCCTAAACAAAGGACTGTGGACTAGACAGTAGTCCTGACACATGCAAAAATCTGTACATTGTACACAATTTTCTCATTGCAAAAAATGTAAAAATGTTTTCAAAAACTTGTGTCACTGTATGGATAACAGTCCTTTCTTTAATTTTTTTTATGTGCATAGTAAATTGTAAATCATTTTTTGTTTGCTGTTCACATGGATGTTTGCCTGACGAAGACCCTGCAGGCCAAAATAATGCATCAATTCAAATTTTGGGAGCTGGAATATTTCATGGTGTGGCGACCTCTCTTTTTCCTGCGTGTGCTGTCTTTTGTCCTGCGCTTGTACCCAGCTGAAGTTGGATGTGCACACACACCCACCTTCTTCGCTACACACCTAATATTGAGACGTGTGGATGCTCCTATATACTATACATAAACTGTACAATGCTGTGCAGACTTGTTTAACAGTCTAACTTGAAGCCAGTGAGGCAGTTGTATGCAGTGGTTTTAAACACATTAAGTTTTCATTATAAATGCTGAGCTACTGTATGTTACTCACCTGGTTGAGGAACGTAGGATATGGCACCTGAAAGGAGATAATAACAGATTCATAGGGGTGTGAAAGTTTACAAATATACAATAAACTTCAACTTAATTGAGTTTTAATTTACAAACCAATATTCTGAGTCCTCTGCTTCCACATGAGCCACTGCTGCGGGATGGTGTCCTGTGGGAACACACCATGAGGGCTTCTATTACACCTGAACAATAAATTGATGAGGTGCAGATGTGTGTGTATTCTAACATGGGCTCCTACCTTATCTGGGCGCTGCAGCATTAAAGTCCACATGACCAGCTCCATAGCAGTCAGCAGATTGGGTGCACGGCCCCAACGCCAGGCTGACTGCAGGTCCTCCAGAACCTTTGCCACAGGTTCCCCAGGCCACACACTTTGCTGCAAGATGATCAGTGGGAAAAGAATGTGTCTATTGGGTAAAAACAAATCTGCAGAAATCAGTCCAGTGAACAGGAAACATGTGAACTATGTGAACTTCCCACCTCAGGCTGAGCTCTCACATCCTTGATCCAGTTGAGAATCACGTTTTTGGCCTGCATCAGGTCCTGCTCATTAATCAGATCTGGCAGTTTGCCCTCATCCATCTCTGGCCAGCCATCAGTCTGCAGAGGCCTCTTCTGCAGAGAAAAAGATACACGTCTTTAGTGACTAAACCTCTATATACCTTAAGCATGGTTAATGTATATCCTGGTCTTTTTTTCTCTGATAAGCACCTTGCTCTCCAGCATAGAGGCCCACTGCAGGATGAAAGCCTTGCAGAGAGGAGTTGGCCAGGTGTCATCCTGGTTCCAGATGTGCTCCAGGACTGCTGACCTCTGCAGTGAGAAAACAGGTAGGGAAACGCAGGGTAGGTGAAAATAAAATATAATAGAATCATCATCATTATTTCTGATGATAAGGTCACTGCTATGACTCGATTGGTGAGAGTTTAGTGTCCTTTTTTACCAGATCTAACAAAAAGATTGTTTGTAACTAATATTGTTATTTTTCTTTCATGTCATATCTGATTTCATGATTGAATTGTTAGCAATATATTATTGTTTATAACCTCCTCAGTACAGACAAGTCAGTTCTGAAAGTGCTCCAAACAGGTGTTTCCAAACAAGTGAATACATTATGTTGTACATGGTGTATTCTCAAGAGGTTGTACCTGACACACTCGGCTGAGGTCTCTAGCCAGATCCACCACAAACAGCTGATCCTCATCCAGAGGCTCCCTCTTGTCCTTCTTTGCTCTCTTGTGTGATTCCTGCAGGGAAATAAAAATTTTAAAAAAAAAGGATTTTCTGTGGGAAACTGTTTTTAAAAGGAAAAGTTCTCAGCGAAAAGAAAAGAAAAAGACATTTGGAGGACATAAGTGGTGCTTGACGAGTGCCTTAGAAAGTAATAAGGTCAAATTAGAAAGGAGCTGGTCACTCAGCCTGATCAAAATGCACATCATGGCTCTGTTCCTGTCAGCAGAAATAAAGACACCCTTCCCTTCTAGCCTTTCCGCCTCGATTCATCTCATCAGCAACTCTTTGCATACTGTAGCTTTTTCTAGTTAAAAACAGAACCAGGAGATGAGAAATGCGTGCAGTCACATGGTGTAGTACTACAAAAATGTTGTCATGTCAACTGCCCACTTGAGCGTCAAGGTGACCCAAAAACCATCCTGCCAGGAGCAAAACAGGTTTGAACATTAAACACACAATGTTCCTTTAGAGCACATCAAAACATGTTACCTTTATCTTGGCCGTGAAGTTTTTGGCCGGCTCCACCATGAAGTGAAAACACTGCATCATCTTGGCTGGTCTGTAAGAGAGTCCTACAGTGAGAAACACAAATAAATGTGACTTTGGATAATCACATGACTACGTCTGATTTACCAGCAGAAGCTCCGCTATTGTCCTTCCTGTGATGAAGTCAAACATCTCAGCTTGTAGTGTACAATAAGGTGGTATTTACTACTGCTATTTAAGAATATGTCAACCATTTCAGGACACGTTTCTGGTGGCACACCTTTAAAATTTGGACTTTATGTGGTTTAGCAGAATGTATAATTAGTTTTGGTCTCTGAGAGGGGACACTGTCTCGTCAGACTACAGCATGTCATGTAAATCATTGAACATATGATGAAAAAGTTCACATGGCCATTTAGTAAAAACAACACCTCTGAGGGTGACCACAACAACTTATTAAGTAGGTGAGGGATGTTGTGTCCCTGGCCTTGGCTGGCATTGCCAAATACATAAATGATCCACTACCTGAGTTAATAAAGTCAAATTATCTCTGGTGTGATATGAGGAATGTGTCTGTCTTCCAGGAGGTCACATCAGGGGCAGAGACCAGCAGTGATCATTAACTGGAGCAGGACCAAGTAATAAAAAGCAGACACTGCAAAACGTGACAGGCCCTGCACGCTTCCAGTGCAAAGCCTCGGCTGCCACTCTCTCCCTCTCTCTCTGTTTTCTCCTCATTCATTTTTCTTTGTGTCATTCCCTCACTTTCTCGCCATTGCAGAGAAATACACGAGCTCAGTCTGTGTCTGGCTGGCGCTGAAGCAGTGAGGATGACCAGTCTAAACGGGTTCTCGTGACTTAAGGATGATGTGGGTGAATTCACTGGCACAAATAAACCCTCTCTGCACATTCATTTCACTAATTCTAAGAAACTAATGGTTATCTGCATTTTATTAAACACAAGCATAAACAGCCCTGGTTGGACTATGAATTAAGTTATTCTGGTCAATATAAAAAAAGGACCCCATTGCCCCATTGCAGCTCAGTCAAGCTCCACAAAACTGCAACACTCTGATATTTGTATATACAGTGGTTGTTTATGCGGTTCATACATTGTGTTATCATACAATGTATGCAGTAATGCTGATTTAAACTGAGCTGAGGGCTAAAATGTCACATTTGCATATAGAAATTGACACAATATTGTAATCGCAGGAAAACATGAAAAAGGAAAGGCTCCGCTAGAAAGGATTTATTGATGTCGTGGGAAAACATGACCATGCAGCTTTTGCAGTCAGAGCGACCCAGTTCGAGGCCAGCTGATGACTGCGCATGAGGTAAACACACACCTGCCGTGTGACTTTGCGGCAAATCTGTGTTGTAGACACAGGTAGACTGCACGTCGAAAACTTATCTGTCTGCAGCTGTGCAAGACACACAATAACACATTTCATACATTTATCCTGATAATGTCATCGTATGTGTCCCTTCAGTGCGTCCTACACAACAATACAAATAACATACGGATGATCGTATTAACGTGCACATGACGCACAGCTTACCTTGGTCCTCAGAGGGCTGGTGGAAAAGTGTAGATCTCCTCTTGACTCAGAAGCGCACAGACTCTAGGACAGTGTTTTGTCTGTGTGCTGCAGTGTCTGACCTTGTTTACATACCAGAGTGGTCGGGAAGGTTCGGCTTTCTCCGTCAGTGACGAAAGCGACTCTCCAGTGGACAAGGCGCGCCGCCATGTTTGTAAGGTGCACATGTTACGCACACTTAAAGGAAAGATCCGTCTGTAAACAGAGACTTTTAATGTAATGCAAAGTAACTAAGTGCATTTAGTGTAGTTCTGTATTTAAGTACAGTCGTGATGTAATTTCCATTTCCCTGTTACTTTATACTTCTACTCCACCACAACTCAGAGGGAAATATTTTTACTTCAAAGCTTTAGTTAGGCTGCTGGATATTTCAGATAAAGGATTTACATATAAAACATTCAGTTTACAAAACATAATGAATTTTGACAAACTGAGCTACCTGACAGTTCTCAAATAAAGTTGTTACAATAAACTGGACTTCAATCAAATGCATCATTAAGATGATATTACATGTTTATACATCAGTAATAATAATTATATAATACATAATTATATAACTCAGGGGCCATACCAGCAAGATTGAACTTTTCAGTATGAGCCTGATATACTGTAGCCTATATATTCACAATGGTAGCAAGTTAGACTACTGCCCCCATCATAGACTCAATATGTGAAATATTATTAACACAGGAAACAGGCTAATGTAATGCTGCTGCTTATTATTCAACAAAAAGTTACGTTCATGTACTTGCTGTTTTGTGACTACCTGTAATTGGAACAGAACAGAATTTAAAGTCAAAATACAGATATCAAAAGCGATATGAGTCTGATAGAAGAAAGACCCATGTGACTGCATCAAACATGCAATCAAATGGTGAAATGTTTGTAACATGCTGCATAGGGCACATTTTTATTAGATGATATTGCCAGAGATGACGAGGAAATTTCCCCACTCTTCACAGTGCATGGCTTAATAATGTATGTTTTATTATTACAAACTCCTGTGATTCACAGATAATGGTATTTTTGTCTATTTCAGTCACAGGAGACAAACAGTCTACTGCCTGCAGGCTTTCTGGCACCTTTTCAGGAGCAGAGCAGCAAACTGCGTGTTATTTTCTTGAAATGACTTAATTACTGATATTTTTGGTTCTGTAGACTCAGTCCCTGACAATTAATGTCAGCAAATAACAGACATATTTTTACAAACAGTGCATTTGTGAAGTATAAGAAAATTTTTAAAAAAGTGAACAAAGCTCTCTCTCTCACTCACTCACGCACGCAAGCACGCACGCACATACACACACACACACACACAGTATATCTATGGAAATATCACTACACTTCTTCAACTGGCTACCAGATGTCAAAGGTCAGCCTCGCTATGAGTCTGACTAATCTTTATGTTTGTTTAAAAAAAATCATAATCAGCTGCTGCTACTGTGTAATTATAACAGTCCATTAACAAAACAATAAAAGATTTTATTACATTTGTTTTCACAGAGAAATAATGTGGAGTCACTTGTTTTTCTTAAATAAATACAGTACAAGACAATGTGCAGGACAAACATTTTGCATGTGAACATGATAAGTTGCAGAACAACTTCACTGGATCACGACAAACAAAACAGGTCTTGACAAGGAACTTGGTATTTCTCCATTGTTTTCATTTCACATTCACTCTGCTGTGGACTTGAAGCTTTTTGGAGAACAGAACAGTAAAAAAGTTAAAAATAAAACTCAACACATAAAATAATAAAAAAATATTATGATATAAAATATTTGATAAGGAAGCAATCTGCCTTGGCAGAAAAAAACATAACTGGGGTAAAAACACTTTTGGTGAAACCAATTACATAAGTTGTCTTATTATAATGTCTTGTTATAACTTCATGAAAGGCACTCTCATTAGCACCATTTTTTTTATTTCTCCCCCTCACAGGCTGAACCACATGCTGGAGCAGTGTGACATAGCCTCAGTGGGGTACAGAGGCATGTGTTACAGCAACTCATCAGGCAGCTCTTTGATAACCTTACAAACCAGACAGTAAGGTCTATGGCTGAGGAACAGCAGAACAAAAGAGGAGAGCAAAGATCAAACACAAATGTTCACTGACAAGTGTAATCAGCAAAGTAAGTAGCGATTCCCTTTTTGGTATGTATCTGTAGTCCACAAATCTCTTCTTCCTCTGTCCTCATTAAGATGTACCAGCCACCAGCACAGAAACCATCACTTCAAGTGTTGTTAACAGTTATATGTTCCAGCCAAATGTGTCCTCTCCTGAGGGGTGTGCAGCTACTCTTTGGTTGCCCCTCAGCTCAACATTAGCTATCTCTCAACATTAACTCAGTCTTGAGGTATCTGAATCAGCTTGTATGAATGTGTGAAGGATCCAATCATGATCAGTCTTCAGCCTTTGTTGTCATTTGGTGACTTCATCTGTATGAAAGCTATCGAGTTTCTTTCTCATTCATAGGCAGCTTGAGAACTTGATCAGTATCACACAGGCAGAACAGTGCCGTTAGTGTCTGGGTTGACTGGATGAGGTGTGTCAGTCTGAATGTCAGGCCCTGTGTCGGTGTAGATACTCTGAGGAGGAGAGACGTCCAGACTGGATGAGAGGATGTTGTACGGCAGCTCCACAGACTGGCGGATACTCTCTTCATATGATGGAGGAGGCTGCAGGACATGTGAAAACAACAAGTTTTATCATGTGTTACAATGAATGGTGTTATTTCATTTTATTGTCAGTGGGACACGTTGCAGATTCACCCAGCGCTGCAAAGAGAAAACCTTAAAGCTGCACTGATCAATATTTTCAAATTAACAGTAGATTCAATTATTATGTTGCATGTGAAAGGTGTTGCTTGTGCTGAAGAACCCACTGAGAATTATCACCCAACTCTGTCATTCCCCTCACCTCTGGGAACCTTTTTTTTTTAGCATCTTCCAACTCATTGTTTTGGTTTCAATACCTGCAGTTTCTCATCACCTTCTTAGTTCAGATAGTTGTTCATTTACATATCCACATCCAGCAGACACAACAACATTAGCATCATTTGGATCCTTCATGTTTGTGTCCGCCTGATGAGCTTAAGTCAAATATTAACATTTAGCTCTGTTTTTGGTCTCTACCAACTTCTGAGGGAAATGTATGTCTCTTTAGCTTCTAAATGTTCTACTATGTTCACCAGCTGGCCTCTACCTGTGTCTGTCTGCTACTTCATGGCGCTATGAGAGCAGTGAGAGTGAACCAATATGGTAGTGGACAGCTAAACAATGAGTTAAAACTCAAAATAGAGCTGTGCACAGCGAAGTGGAGCTGCAGACTCAGCTGATGATTCTCTGTGGGTTCATCACTATGAGCGACCACTTTAACAATGTTGCACAGTTTTGATTCATAACATTATAAAAAATATCAATTGACGCTGCTAGAAGTTGAGTTTCATTTGGTGAGGCTACAATAAATAAATTCATTCACTTGGTTTACTTCTTTAGTCCTCCAGCTCACTTGGTAAAACGTGAAGAGTGTACAATCATCATGATTGATCCTTTATTCTATTTTTTCTCACACACTTGAAGTCAGAAACAGCATAAATACTAAAAGTGAAAACTCTGCTGGAAAGTATTAGTATAAGTATTAGAAGTCGGAAAAAGACAAAAAAAATGATATTTCCAAGGATGAGTGTATTGCTTGGAGAACATCCTGAGGCCCGATGTCTACCCCCAAAAACAAAGTGGAACATGTTTGTATTTACATTACATACCAATCTGTGCTCACGTCGGCCGCCTAGAACATGTTTTTCTCCAATGCATTATCTTTCTGATCACATCTGGCAGATTCACACTCCCTGACTGAGTCCTCTTATCTTTTAATTGCTTGGGGACCCTCAGGCGACAAGAGCAACCCTACAACCCTGCCCTCTGTCTGATACATGCACCACACATACACACACACACACACACACACACACACACACACCAGGCCGCAAAAACTTTTACTACTATCCCGCCTCAGGCCACAGGACAGACAGGGGGAAATTAAGGGGGCATCATTTAAACTCTACTAACAGAGTCTAAAAGGGAGGAGGGGGCTTTCAGTGACTAGTGACGGGTTGACTGGGAAGTGCTGTGTGTGAATGTGCTTTCTGTTTGTGTCTGTGTGTGTGTGTGTGTGTGTGTGTGTGTGTGTGTGTGTGTGTGTGTGTGTGTGTGCTGAGAGAGAGAGATGGGCAGTCATGCTAGGGACTGTTTAATTAAGGAAAAGGTGGGGAGGTCAAAGAAGAAGAAAAAACAGTAGAAGACAGGATCACAAAGCAGCATTCTCGGGCACTGTTTGCACTTAGGATGCAGGCTTTAATTATGTTTGATGTGCCTTTTTCTCATTACCTTGTTTGCTCAAGCGTTGTGTGAGTCAAAAGCTCAGCGAAAGATCAACGCGGTAAAACCTTGAAACGCGGCTGCCAGCACAATTCAGCAGTGAGCCTTAGATGAGCTGATAGGGCATCCTGTTTACTGCTCTCTGAATGCTGTTTAATCTTTGAACACGCTCTTGTTACAATATTGTATGACAGCGTGGTCATAATACAAAGCGCCTACTTCTCACCCGTCTCCATTGATAGTGAGACTACATATGAGCGGCCTCCACAATATCCAGAGTTTACATGAGCTTTAGCATTCTTTGAAACTAGGAGTAAAATATCTTCTCTATTCCCAAGCTTAACAACAGCACCTGACAGTCTTTGTGACTGTATCAATTGCTGTGACACAGTCCTAATCCCTAATATACCCCACCTCAGTCACAATGGGTCCATTGAGGCCGAAGCGGTCTGCAATCATCATGTGGATCTGCCTCTGGCGGTCCTTCTTTCGAACGCTCTCGTAGGAGGGCAGCCTCGGCAGGGGGGCCTCCAGTGTGGGCAAGCTGTAGCTGGAGGGCAGGCCGATGAAGAACAGCTGACCCGCCTGCTGAGACACACACAGGCCCAGAGACAGAGGGACGGTTATGAGACACAGGAAACAGAAGCTTTTATATGCTGAGGGTTTGTGAATAATGGACCAAATGTACACCATCACTGATACCCACTCTAAACATAAAAGCCAGTATGCTGCAGTCATTGAGACATTTACTTCAGAGGTGGGCACTGCCCAATCTACCAAATGTGTATTGTTTAGTATGTATAATAATAGGGAACTGAGAGTGTGTCTTTGTCAATTGCAATAGTACATACAGAATGATGCCAGTTCACTGCTGCACTCTCTCACCTGGGCGTTGTTGTCATCCATGATCTGCGTCTGCTCTAGACAAGAAGATCCCACCAGTGTCTGTCTGCTGCTGTAGTACTGAGGAGGAGCATCCTGTAAAACAAGCAGTAAAGACTGTAACGAGTGCGTCTCCGAACCTGGGTTGTTAATCAACCTGTTTCAGTTAGAAGCTTTTACCAGTTTATAGTTTAACTAAGTCATCTGCACTGCACCGCCCCGGTGTTCTGTCTGCAATTAGTCAGAAATCCACTAATTTCAGCCCAATTGCCCAATGTTCATGCCTTGTTTAATCACTGTAGACACTGGCCGTTTTAGCAATACCATAAATTATCTAATCAATAAGACGACCACCCTCCAATTTCCGTGCCTCCTCCCTGTCCCACCCCCTCTAAAACAAGACCTGTCAGTGTCTCACTGTATGAGGTGCAGGAATCCTGAAAAAAGGCTGCCAGCAAAACTAGGTAATTGCCTCTGGTCTAAATGAGTCTCCTTTGTGTAGGGAACAATGTGATGTCCCACTGTGTCATCTGGGTCCCTAGGCAACAAACCACACCGTGTGGTCTTTTCAGTGTCTCTCTATTCCCCTTGTGACTGCAGCAGGTACCTCTTAACGAGCACACTCCAATACACATTATGGCCTCGTATGTCATTTGGGTCGGCATTACAACAAAGTCAATTTGTTGCCTGACTGAGATTTAAATCGGGCAAGAGGATAAGAGGTGTTAGGGCAACATTTGCTGCTAATACTAGCTACTAATGCGATTCCTTCTAACTTAGAGGAAGCAGAAATAGAGTTCAGCAGTCACACTGAGGAGTATTAAAATATCAGATTTATCATTTTCCCAGGCCACTTTAAACAATGACATCACTCACACTTAGAGTGACGCACTCTAGCGACCTTTGCCATAACCCTCACATCATTTCAGAGAGAGAGACCACACCAAAAAGGTGATGTCAAAGGTCACGTTCCCTCACTGGTTTGTACTTTTAAGAAGCAAAAAAAAAAAAAAAAAAAGTCTTCAGGAGAGAGAGAAAAAAAGGAGAGTTGTCCTTTTGTCTCCAGCCATTGATTCAGTCAGTGTGAAAAAGCACAACCGTGTAAAATCAGTGTTGAAGTCGGGGGAGGACCCCAGCGACAGTGTGCCTTTTTCAACGCCGCAACCTAAAGGAGATCCATTGTCCCCCTTGTGTCCCCAACACCCACAGTGGGGTCTGTCCACTATTCATGGTGCAAACTGAAGCAGGGAAAGGTATGTGACTATGAAGTTGAGGACATAAAAATGTCCCACAGGAACACAATGAGAGAGTGTTTGTGTGTGTGTTTCCCTCATGGAATAACAACATTTAAGTAAATTAAATATCCCATAACAAATGACAATAAACCCTGAAACTACAACATGGATGCAGACTGGCACTTTCTGTTTACAAGCTGTCATTTCTTATTTCTCTGTTCTGACCTGACAGTAAGGTAAGACAGGCAGTGCTGTCTTATCAGCCACGCAGTGTATGGATGCAGCTGTAACTAGAGGTCAGCACAGACAGTTTGTACCAGTGAAACGCTCTGTTAGTTCTTTAAATGGGACAACAGACTTCTTCCATTAAAACCACAGTTGAACAGAGTTTCCTGTCTGTTGAAGGAGGGTAGTGGTGGTGGGGAGGGTTACGAGTGGTGTCTCTGCAATCTAAAGATAACACTGAAACTTCCCCCCTGGGACTTACAGGGGTGAGAAACAAGTCAGGAAGAGGAAGCAGAGAGAATGGGCAACCAAGGAAAAGTTACCTCTGTGGAGTGTTTACATTTCCTTTTTTTCACCTCATCCTGCACCATCTCCTACAGCTTTACAGATGCACAACCAGTTAGCTGTAGTAGCTAGAGACAAACGGTGCATGCTGTTGGATGTGTGTTGTTTAAAATGTCACACCCTAGTGTAAAAACTTAAAAGATCAGGGTGTTTTGCTTCACCTGCTGTGTCAATGTTGGAGAATAAATTTGATTTTGCAGTCGTTTAATTACACTGGTGCTGAACTAGTATCAATATGTGTGGTAAGTGCTAATTTGGTCCAATTCCATTAGAGTTACTGTGGCACTCAGAGATATTTGTGGAGAGCAGCTAGTTCAACTGAGGCAAATTCATTGCCTGACAATGATCATATCGAGTTTATTTTAGTCCTTTTCCCACAGCCATGCAAATTGAATCTGACACTTCTTAATGGCACTGCACTATGGGTGCACATGGTGACTTTGAGCCCAGGTCCTCTCTGTCAGTGTGATCCTAACAAATGTCCCGGATCGGGATCAAAACTGAACATGCAGGTCACTTTAAAAAAAAAAGAAGAAGAAAGACGACTCAGCACAAAAGGCACTTTCTGCCTCTTTGTTTTCTTCTTACCATATCTGCATGAGGCCCCTGATAGGAGCGGAGTTTGCAGCACTGAGGATCCTTGCGGTAAATAATGGACAGCAGCACAACAATAACCACAAAGAAGACGAGAGAAGAAACTGTTTGAAAGCAGGAGAGAAGGAAATGTTAGTCACAGTTAATCAGACAGCAACTTGCAGTAGCCACAACTTGAAAAAGAACAGAATCAGGGCCGCTTTTAACAAGTTCAATCTTTAGTGAAATAGCTGTTTACTCAGTTTTTATTGACACTTTGAACACTCAAAAGGGTAATTTCCCTCCTATGCTCTACCTGTCTGTCAGGAACAATGGCAGCATGAAAGAAACAGAGCTGATAGACCAATTCTGTCATTATGCAGTGTCACATATCATGTGAGTGCTTTGTGGCAGTCAAATTAGCTATAATCTGTCATCACATGTGGAAAATGAAAATGAAAATATTCTAGTAGCCTTATCATACTGCTGCAATATGGTTAGATTGAAATACTATCCATCAGGCAAGCAGGTAGAAATCAAACCACAGAGACAGATATTATGATTAGAAGGGAGTTTTCTAAATGGTGTCGACTTTGTCTTTAATATCTAAGGCAGTTTAATGGGTTTACTTACAGGACGCAGCGACCACTGTGAGTTGATCCGATGTCAGCTGTGAGGAGGGCAGAGTTGGACTTGCAGTTGTGGACATGTCTTCGGTGTAAACTGTCAATGATCCGTTCAGAAATCCTCCTGAGCTCATCAGCCTCAACACCAAGGCTGTCATTATTTGTTTTATTTTACATCAGAGAGAAGAAACGGAGAGCAGCTCTGTTGTCGCTCCTCGTCATTGTCTCTTCAGTCCCCGCGGACAGGGTGACAGTCCACATGCGCTCTGAGAGTCAGATCTCAAACTCTGTCCGCTCGGTGTGTGAGCCCACCTCTCCAAACCGCGTGACGTCGCTCTGGCTCTGCGCTGGACGGCAGCAGTGTTTGGTTTGTGGATTGGCACGGGCAGGGAGCAGGAACCACTAATCTACATGGATTTTTTAAATGGGTTGTCCCCCCCCAAAAAAAAACTCAGCAAAAAAAAGCAGCAAAATAACACGTCTGTGTGTAATTTCGACAACTATCTGATATTTCCTCTTATGCTGTCCAGATGCAGGCAAAACTGTCCAGTTTTGTTAAGGAAGTATGTCAACTGCTGCTTCCTCCGCCGTCTGATTCATTGCATCCAGACCAGTAGGTTAACACACTGGATGCCTGAGCTGGAGTCCCGTTACCCCGGAGACTGTGGGGATCCCGTCCTGGGATGATTTCTACACAGACAAAGAGCCTAAATGTAGCATTAGTATTCATGGATGGGAACTATGGAAAACGTGTCTTCCTTTTCTGCTAAATAACGCACTGCAGATCTGCCCTAGAATTAGGAGAGATAGGATAATGTAACCAGGCAGCAGGAGGACAGTGGTAAGGAGCTGCAAGTAAACTTTAACTTGGACTACCCATTAACACTGATAAATGTCTGTGACTCTTTATTTTATCTTTAGCCTATCTGTATTGACCATGACCTTGATCCTCCACGTAGTCTAGCTAGACACTTAAATAGGATATCTTAACTGAAGTAGCCTACAGCTAAGGCAATAGTAAAAATCCAGCCAAAGAAATCCAGCATGGTGTACAGGCTGGATTTTCTACATCTGATATGGAACTACTGCATCATGTCCTTTTAATGCAGAGAACACATTTAATAGGATTGAATAGATCTCTTCACCATGTGCTACACAGATTTGGCTTTGGCCCAGGTTTTATATTATATAACAGACCAAAAGCAGCTCTGTGTGCTGTAAATATTATATGTGAAGAGAAGAAAGTCAGCCCTAACTTGAGTCTGATGATATGGAGATACAAAGGCCTACAAGGGTGAGAGTTATGTTGTATATATATTTTCTTTTTAAAGGATGAAAAATACTTGATTTAACTGAAGTACTGTTAGGGTCTCAAAACTCCTATAATAAGGCCTTCATGAAACAAACAAGCATTTCAACCAAAGAGTAATTTCCCTTATTGGATTGTTTTATTTGAAGATTTTTAAAAGGAGAAAGCATCCCATATTACACTGCAACAAAGCAAAATCAGAAAATATATACACTACAATTTTCTGTGTAACAGAAGTATCTGGTGGGAAATCCTCAAAGTGTCCTGGAGGCCCGACCAAGGCTGGATTACCAGGTAAAGTGGACAACTACCTGAACCTTAAGGGCCCCAAATGCCTCTTTACTGTGTCAGTTCAGTCTTTTCTGACTACATAATTTGATTCATCCAAATTTATTATAAATTTGCACCACTGAAGAACAATATCAGCTAGGATGAGTCCTCCACCCTTCATCTGGTGAAGGGGCGCTGGCACAGAATCTAGTTTTAAGAATTAAATTGTTTTGGTTCATACTTGTGTCAAGTATCCTCTAATTAACACCCAAAAAACCCATTCCAGGAGAACTGCAAGACAGCAACCAAGAGTTATTTTCACACTTGAATAATTGCTCTAACTAAAATAGTTAAATTTAAATTCAATTTTTTTATCAATGAACTAATCAATGAAATAACTAATAATTTCAGCTGTAGATCACTGAGTGGTTTCTGAGAAAATAATGCAATTGTAGTAAAGAGGGGGGTCAATAGGGTCAGACAGCTAGGGCCCGCTAGGAGGTTAATCCGGCCGTCGTCCTGATGGTCATGAACCACCAGGAGGTTGCACGGTTGACCTTTCCAGTACACCTGGCCCTGCATTAAAGAAGTGCTGGGAGTTTGCTAAGAAACCAAACTCCGTGTACTCAACAAAACTAGCAGAATGCTATAAATAAAAATATCTAAATAAATAAATAAATGGGTCGCATTATTTATAACTTTTGGAGACAAACTTCGTGCAACCTGAGGATAGCGAGCGGCGCCGCGTGCACGCGCAGCTCAGAATGCGCCGTGCACGCGTTCCCCGTCGACTCGAGTCGAAAAGATGGTGGCCAGCGCTCGAGTGCAGAAGCTCCTCCGACGATATAAACTAGCGATCGCCGCCGCATTAACCATCCTCCTGATCCAAGGGCTGGTAGTATGGAGTCTGAGAAGTCTGGAAGAGGGCGAGGCAGAGGTGAGAAACCGTCCCTCCGATTATTTCTGGTATGACTGTGACTGGGTTGCCGTTAGCGCTTAGCTTAGCTCACTGTGTGTTATGATACAGTAACGCTAGCTGATGCTAGCTAAGTTAGCAGCTGGGGGTGGAGGGGGGTAGCGCTTCTCAGAAACATTTCAGTTCAATCGGACCAACCCTGCCCTGTCTGTCTGCCTCTGACCACAGGGTTAGACACAAAGTACGAGGTGCTGCATGTTCACAACGATGAACTTAGTGGCTCAGGTAGATCCAGTTGTATGGTAGTTGGCCGGTTTAAGAATCAGCAGCGGTCTTAACACTGGTGATTGTGTGTACATTTCATTTGTAATCACTGTTGTGTTAAGAAAATGTGATGCCCGGCAAATGGAGACAGACAAAGCACACAGCTAAGAGGAGGAAAATGTCTATGAAGTGATGCAACTTTGAATGTGAGTCAGCTGTGATTCATTGAAACACACAGTTCATCAATGTGAGCTGGATTGCTTCACACAGCTGTCCCAGGATATCCAGCATCTGTTCTGCTTTCTTTATTTATACTCTCCTTATTTATATCCACCAGTGGCCTTTCACAGAGTCTCTATTCTGTTTATATGACCTTCACAAAGCTTTGACTCAGGGAGGCAGCATTTCCCAGGGATACAGGCTAAACTTAAGCAGAGAGTTGTTTCCTTTACATACCACTGAAATAATTTATTTAACATTAGCCGAGTCCTCCTGTGGGAACCTTATCTCTCAGTCTCTCTCGCACACCTGGAGTGTACTACCTTTAGGCAGTGTCTGTTCCCTCTATATATGGTAAGGTGAGTTGTGAACAGATGTGACCTGTGGAGGACTGCTGTGCGTGTGCAGGAGTGGGTTTTTTTTTGAGCTGCACCAATACTGATAAAGCCACAGGAATGCAAGCTGAAACCTGAAGTGGGAACTGTGCTGTCTCTCTGTCATGATGTGACAAGTGTGGAGTGTGTGTAATATTCCTTCCAACATGGATAGATTGCAGATCTGTGTCTGGTGGGTAGGAGACAGGCAGCAGATGTGGCAGTGGCTTTAGTGGGGGAAGTTTTACCCTGTCCTCAGCGGAGGGAAAAGAAGGGTCATGATTCTGTGGTCGGTGCTCTCCCTGTGTTGACCGATAAAATGATTTGCTTCGGTTTAAGCTGTATCAATAAACTCAAATCTTAATAGTCAAGTGCCTTGCCCTTTGTAACTCTGTTAATATGAATTACACCAGCCTTTATGAAGTAATCAATTTCCTCTGTACACACTAGTACACACATTGTGACAAAACAGGAAATGTGACATGAGAGTCACTACATTGCAGAAGAGATGTTCATTTTGACTTCTATCACCTGTTTGCTTTGTAAGCCTCCAGGCTCTCTGCTGCTTCATCAGATGCAGGTTTAAACATGCTTCAGCAAAGATACAGAAATATGTCTATAGGGGTTTGTGGTTAACTGTAGCTCACCTAGGACTGTAAAGGAGCAGAAGTGCACACCTTTAAAAAATCTCAACACAACTACGTGTTGCGATGTGGTGTCCAGTGCCACACATAAATGCATATGCTGTATAGCTGTATGGGAAAGGACATGCAGTAGCACTTGATTTGGGCTCAACATGACACCAGAACCAAACTGAGAAACCAAACAGATTGTTCATATTATTAATAATCCGATTCACATTTTACATTTTTTAAATTAATATTTTAAAGTTGAAAACAGGTGTCATTCATTCCCGTGTGAATGCAGGCTTGGGAAATGTGACACTGCTGCTTCGTGCGTATGTCAGCCTTACACGCAGCATCTATGCAAATGGCAGCACGCAGGGTCTTTGCATGTTTACAGACTCACAGATGCGGAATCAAATTTCAGACTTAAAAATGCACAGAAAATCATCACTTCACCTCGGAACAGTGCATATTCAGTCAGGGAGGCTCGCCAATGTAGGCAACATGAGCGAGCGTGGCTGGATTCCTCCATGCTCTGTGGTCTCCGCATTAACTCACAACTGCTCTAATCGGTGACTTGCTGTGCATGTGTGAACACAGCCACATGCGTTATAATATAGCCCTTGTACAGAAGAGTAAAAGGACTGCGAGCACAGAAGAACAAGACTCTGTCATCCTCGTATCATCGCCTGTTTCCCCGCGCTCTCCTATAGAGCTGAGAGCTTGCTGCTGCTTCCCGCTTCAGCAGATGCCAATGCTGATATGGTTTCACTCGACTTTAATTGGAAAGTATAGAGGCTGCCTAGCTTGCCTTTGAATCAATACATTTTTGACATGATGGCGTTAATTAAAAGCTGTGAAAACGAGTGATAAGGAAAAATGTTAGCCCCTGCTGAACGCTTGTCTTCTGTGTGAGAACATTCACTAAAGCAGCCTAAAAGCAAGTAGTGTCTTTATCAGTGTTAGCTGAAAATAAGCTTAGACTACATGCTCTTCACACAGAAGTGTTTATATTAATTTTGCAGCTATGAGCCACAACCAGAAAGAAAATATGCCACTGTTGAAAATGTGTGTCTGAAACAAAACTGAGAACAAAAGCAGAACAGATATGGCATTGAAGTCAAATTGACCCTCATCTACCACTGCTAGACAGAATGATTGGGAGAACACTGCTTCAAGCAGTTGTCTTATCCTTAATGTTGTTTTTTCTAGCTTTGCTGTTAAACTGCCGCTTTCCAGTAAAGGCCGTTCACATAAAAATGGGTTTATTCTTAGAAATCAGATAAAGTCAGAAATAGGAAAACTCATTGACATGCACTGCAATAATATGCTGTTGTAAAACCAGATTTCTTGCCATTGCTTCTTTAGATGGACTTATTTCAGGTGCAGTTTTTGTTGGACTTTTAATTTGATTTTAGATTCAAGGACACTGCTGTCACATTGATGCTTTTTGTGTCTGGAATGAACATGTAAATGTTTAGAATACACAACATGGCAAAGAAGTTGTGTTTCTGCAGGACAAATCTTTCTTGTCCAGGTGACGTTTTGGACATCTGCAGAAATCTGACAATAACCAGGTTATTTAAGTGCATGTAAACTCTCGGACAGACACTCGCTCTGCAATGACTGGTATGTAACTGAGCTCCACAATGCCTCTTACTGTAATCTGTTCGAGAGTGCAGTTGGCAATCAGTAGCTGACTGTGCTGTATTGGTTGGCAGCTGGTTCATTGGGAGTGTATTATCTGGCTCCTTGTCCCGACCACGCAGCTCCAGTCCCTCTGCTGTTCCCACCGTCTCAGGGCTGTTGACATGCCAGCGGTGTGAGGCGAGAGAGCCCGTGTTCGGCCATATCGTCTGACAGAGGCAGAAAGCTCTCAGCCCACTCACTGTTCTCTCTTCTTCCTCCTCTCCAAGTGCATATTCTGAAGGGCTTTTTGTGGGATTCAGTAATCTGCTGTGCCAAAGCTGTGACGCTGTTTGGCTTGAAGATTTTAAAAATGGCCCAAGACCTGTTTTTTCAAAGCCTGCCATCCATTTTTGGAGGTCCGATTTGTGTTCATTAAGACTGATTCTCTCCATGCTCTTGCTTTGAAACCGAACTGTGTACTCGGGACATGATGCTGGAAGTGACTCAGATTAGAGTGATGATTGTGTTGTGTCCTGTATTGGATCAGTATTTTTACACCATTTTTACATAAATTTTTACTTACGCTTTAGAAGAGAACACAAAATTAGGCTGATATCTAATTTGAACTGAAAAGAAAAACTTTCCAGCTTATATTTATGCTCATATTAATTTGCTGTTGGGGAAACACATAGCTCAACACATCTCCGAGTTGGGCTCTGCCTTACATAATGTCTTTCTTCACTGAACCACAACTGTGTGAAAGATACTCTGGAGCTAAATTTTCCAACAATGAGATACTTGAACGGTTTTATTACTTCAAAGCAGATGTAAGAGGATCATGTCTTGACATTATAGGTAGTATATGAAGCCTCAGTGGATGATATCAAGATGCAAATTTCACACGCAAATCATGAAGCCATGATGATATTCAGTAATGTTGAAGATTTATTGATCTTAGTAATAAAAACAGCAATACATGGCTTGAATAAATGCACACCCCTGCCTTTGTGCAAACAGAGTTTGAGTTTTGAGCCCACACAGAGTTCTATGTCTCTGGCCCCTGGAGTCAGTCAATCACATTCCGATACTTTTCTTATCTGTATGGCAGAAAGATGAAGGAAAAATATTTTCATTCACCACCTCTCTTTCTCTCTCACACACACACACACACACACACATACACACATACACACAGTAGCTGTCTGATGAAATTTTCTACATCACCTCCTCAACGTCTGAGGTGCGTATGAGGCATTTTCGAACCCATGACCTACATGTACATGTGGATGCATTCTTGTTGCAGTTTTGGCCGAAGGCTGCAGACAGAGGTTTTTTGAGGTTTCTATGGTGAATCACTGGGCTCATTATATGTCTTTGAGTGTGTGACTACCCAGAACGGTGCTTTTTGCAGATTAGCTCCACAAAAAGGCAGAGGCTTAGCTAAAAATAACCCAGATCAGAGAAATGTGGGGGAAAAAAACAAAACCAAGTAAACACATCCTTCCCTCTGGGCTCTTTCTGCTGTTGTCTCAGTGGAGGTCTTTGTTTACCTTATGTCATTTTTGGATTGTGAATCAATGCTTCTTCTAGGTAGAATTTGTCTAAAATGTTCTTATGGAATGACTGGAAACAGATCTGGATTTAAATCATATTCTTATTCTATGTCCCTCTCTCTCTCTCTCTCTCTCTCTCTGTGTCTGTCCTGCTTTCTTCTTCTCTGCTCTCTCTCTCCTCAGAGAAAAACACGACGGTCTAAGCTGCCAGACCACAACAGTCAGGACCCCAAGAGAGACGCAGCACTTTGGGAGAAACAAAACTCTTTGTCAGGGAAGAACAGGGGCAGATGGAGCACCAGGTTGGAGAGGACAGGGGGCACAGCAGCCAGTGCACTGAGGAGAGGAACCAGCCGGCGAGGAGGAAAGCCCAGCATCAGGCTGAAGTCTCCTCAGGAGCGGGGGATGACCGGGGCTGGAATGGACAGTGTCATTCCCCATGACTTGTCCAGCAGCCGCAACTTCAGCGAGACCCGAGGAGGCACAGATGGGGCGGCTAAGCTACCTGCTGCTGCCATACCGGGGGAGCCGGGCAGCGTAGACGGTGCACACCAAGCCCCCAGCAGTGACTTTGTGCCTAAATGTGATATCATAGGCAAGGACGCTCTGTCTGCCCTGCATCGCGCCGGGTCACAGCAGTGCCGACAGGAGATCGCCAACATCGTGTGCCAGCATCAGGCTGGTCAGCTCATGCCCGACGCACTTCCTCAGTTCTGCCCCCAACTTGGTGAGAACCATTTAAAGTTTGCACAGATGATGTGATAATGCTAAAGGTGCAAGCAGTTACACACTGAGATTTCTGATCACTCACTGATACGTTTTCAATTAATACATTTCTCAATACCTGAGTTTACTGATCAGTTAGTTGAACAACAGAAAAATGTTGCAGCAGCAATTTTACAAATACTAATAAACAATTAGTATTCGCTGGTTTCTTTAATAATCTGTGATTGTAAACAGAATATCTTGGGGTTTTGAAATGTTGGTCAGACAAAAAAGACATGTTGTTGTGGGCTTTGATTAATTGTGCCAGGCATTTTTCACCATTTTCTGACATTTTGTAAAACAAACAATCGTTTAAACGTAATATCAGTTGTTCAGGAGTTTTTTTACCAGGAGCCGAATTATCCGCAGAGATCTCGCCCTCCCATAAAACAAACCTGGTTGATCAAATCCGGTAAAAAGACGTTTCAAAGCAGTTTCACTGTAAAAATCATTGTGTCTCAGCCGCTGTTTGGCAGACAAAAGACGTGTCATAGGGGCTGCGAGCCGAGCTGCTGACTAACATTTGCTCAGCTTGTTTCTCTGATAACTTTAGATCCAGACATCTGATGACTAAAACCCTTCATCTGGTCAAAATATATCGTTTTTTTTACCACTTCTGCAAGACAACCACAATGCTGACTGATTAATTCTCTATCCTCTTGGCTTAAAAGATTTTTGATAAAAATCATGTTAGTGTTTTCATACATCAATAAATGGCCCCTCAATTTTTCTAAACCCCAATTAGGGCTGAGAAATAATTTAATATAATCATACTGACTCTCTCTTCATAAAGACTTATGACAAAATTTTCAACTAGAAATATTGTGGTTTTACAGTTGTTATGCCTAAATGAATGAAATAATATTCCTCCTAGAGCTGGCCACCCGGCTGAGCAATCGGGGGAGAAGGGCCTCAGTAAGAGAGGAAAACAAGAACCTGATGGTCACTCTGGCTGAGCTCCAGAGATCCTGTGTGGAGATGGGAGAAACTTCCAGAAGGACAACCAGTTCTAAGCATCATATCTGGTTTCCTCCAAACACGATGCTAAGAATTGAAGCCAAAAAGTTCAATCTTGGTTTCATCAGACCAGAGAGAAGTTTCTCACAGTCTGAGGTGCTTTTTCTTTTTTGCAAACTTTCCTTCTGGAGGTTTCTGCCTGAAATTCAGTTTTCACTTTGTCATTATGGGGTATTGTGTGTAGATTCATAAGGGTAAATTTTTATTTTTTTTATTTTTAGCATAAGTCAGTAGGACTCCGTAATGTACATTTGAAACACAAAATGAACGTGTCGTATATCTCCATGTGTATTGCACCCACCGTTTCTCTTGCACACCGAGTAAGTTAGACGTCATAGAAATCAAATTGCACATATGTGTCATTTTTTTTTATCCAGTGAACTTGTGTATAGCTTAAGTACACAACTGCAGTATAGCGTTGGGGTTGCACTGGAACAGATCACACAGCCCACGCCTAGTTGGCAGCCTTTGTGTGTGGGAAGCTTGTTAGCGGGAAAAAAAACAAAAAAAACAAAAGACAAAGACAGAATGTTAACCCCTTATTTTTAGTCCTGTTCTTTTTAATCTTCAGACATCAAAATTTATGTAACCTACTGAAATCTATTTTTGCGCATAGAGCAATGTCTTTTTCAACACCCAGCATTTAAGCTATTATTATTTGAAACTCTCCAGACCCTCCTGAATCCTCTATTTCTCCGTCCTCTTTGGCCAGGTGTATCAAATCCAGTTCAGGCCGCTGGCGAGCTGGACAACAGCCTATCCAAAGTGGAGAACCCTGTCAGGGTGGCTTTTGTTCTGATGGTCCACGGCCGTGCTGTACGGCAGCTCAGGCGCCTCATCAAAGCCATATACCACCGTGACCACTACTACTACATCCATGTGGACAAGGTAATCACAGTGCATTTAATACTATATATTCTCTGAAATTTGCAGCCCTACTGATACTGGCATACAGTATTATTTATTCATGCTAAGGCTGAACATTGAACAGTGTATTTGGCTCCCTGCTCGGTGCCGGCTACACTGAGCTCACAAATGCTTTTACCGGTTAGGTCTTCTTGCATTATGAAAGTTAAATTTATCCCACGGGTCTCACAGTGTGGTAAAGGGGATTAGCCTGGATAGAGTAAAGTGTGGTTATTCTTAGGGGCTGGATTTAGTGGAGGAAAAGTCTGCCATCATGTGCAGTTGGAAGGCAAAAGACAAATGTATGGCCGGTGACACTGAGGCAGAGACCCTCAGGTGTGTTGAGCACAGACGGCACAGGAACAGGTGTTATTTATCAGTGCACCTGTGTAGCCGGAAAGGTTAACGAATCCCGGGGAGTTGCCCTGTTCTGCTGCCAAGGGACGGAGGTGAGGCTTTGCTGAAGGCAGTGATGAATAAGAAGTCAGTGGAATAGTCACACCACAGACACAATCTCAAAAGCCTGTTTGAGAGATGAGACTGTAAAAGAGGTCAGGTTGTACTAGAATCCGTCTACCAGCTCCTCTGCACTCCACTACCCAAACCCTTTTCCTTTTTTCCTGCTGTCTACAAGTGAGGACTGTGATTTTAGGATTGTCACTCTGCCTTTTCTCTGCTGCTGCTGCTCTACTTTCTGAACACAACCAGGATACCCATAGATTCTTGTCCAATCTGTAGGACCTTGTACCAAATGTCCACTCTTTTTTTTTTTTTTTTAATACAGGACAGAGTCAGCAGCACAGTGTCTGTGCATCACTAAACACCATTGGACAAATGGCAATTAATTGGGCGCCAAGTAGCAAAGCGTAGGCACCCATTTTGTCAAATCTTTAATCATGGTTCCCCTGACATGAAAACTTGCTGTTTGTGCTTACAACCATGCTCTTGACGTAATGACATCATGTTTCCATGGCAACTTTGGCCTGCTGGTCTTCTCTGCCCCCACATTGCTGCTTGCAGTTATATTTTCTAAGTGTCTTTTTCTCTTAAGCTGCTCACTTATCGCTTGAGAACCTTTATTAGCTGTGTTTATTTGGAAACATGCCTGTTAATTAGTTGGTAATTAATCTAATTTAGCTGCAAGGGGAAATAAAAAAAAAAACAGTCTTTTGAACCTACAGATTTTGCTTTCCTGCAGTCTTCAGACAAATGGTCAAACATGCTCATTCGTAGTTATATCTCTCACCACTTTTAATGTCTGTGCACAAAGCTTGACAGCTTTTTGGCTCTTTGACTTCCTCCATCTCATCCTCTATTCCCTCTTAATGTTTAATCCCTGCTCTGCAGTTTTCCCCAGACTGTCCGTTTCATTTCTTTCTGCCTTGGTGTCACCTAGAGCCACTTGAAGAAGGAAATAAAGTCAACTTGCTACAAGGCAAAAACAGCTAATTTTGATTTTCACTCTCTATCATTATGACCTGCAGTACAAAGCACCATGTGGCTGTTGTTCCTCTCAGATCAAATTCTCTTTCAACGTGAGCCAGCTTTGTGTGGTTGTCTTGGCACAGTGGCAGCTGGAGATCTGTGGGAACTGCCACACAGCTAAAACTAGATTACATTTGTGATGCAGAAACACAACTCATTTTAACTATTTGACCTTTTGCTTTGAAATCATCCAGCGATCCGGCTACATGCATCGAGAGGTCCTGCAGATAGCCCAGCAGTTCCCAAATGTGCGTGCCACGCCCTGGAGGATGGTCACCATCTGGGGTGGTGCCAGTCTACTGAAGGCCTATCTTCGCAGCATGCAGGACCTGCTCTCCATGCTGGACTGGAAATGGGATTTTTTCATCAATCTCAGCGCCACAGACTTCCCCACCAGGTTGGTCAGTCATGTGCAGTAACATTACACTCCACAATACACTGTAGAATTATCAAATATCAAAAACATGCTAATTATCTCTGAGAACCTTTGCACTGACTGCATTTAGCCTTTACTGTGGTCAGGTATTTCATATGTTATATATGTTTGGTGCAAAATACTTTACCTCCTTTGTATTTTTGTGGTGCTCTCTGGTGTATCTCGAAGTTGTTAAGTTTTGCACAATTTTTCCAGTTTTTGTTGATAATTTTTGTTTGTCACTGATGGTTTAATCCTTCAGTGCTGCGTTGAGACTTGTTTCTCTTTCTGTCCTGCAATGACTGTCTTTTACAACAACATTATACTATAGTAGCAGCCAAAGCATTTGCCGGATGAAAAGAGTACTCTGGTAGCAGCGTTAAATCGATTGTTTTGGTCACTGAATCGCAGAGCTGGCAGTAGATAGTCTTTGTTCTTGCTGATCAGTTTTGGCTGGATTTCAGGGGCAGCTCTGAACCCCTATCAGAGCAGCTGCTTGTCCTACTGAACTGTCCTGAGGGGAAGTAGCTTGGATTGCTTGGATACACACAGACATTCTGTCCAGAGTATCTAATTTTATACTTGTGGATATTATCAGTCAGCACCACAGTCAATCCAACCTTTTATTTCCAAACAGCCCTGTAGACCTAACTGTTTTCCTTTCAATTCTCACCTTCACACCCTCCTACAGGACCAATGATGAACTGGTGGCTTTCCTGTCGCAGCACAGAGACAAGAACTTCCTCAAGTCACATGGAAGAGAGAATGCCCGGTGAGGATGCTAGCTTTAACATACACAACCTGCTAAAAACACAGCTCTGCTTGGCATTTGGCTTAATTACATGTGACACCTCTTAACATTTAAACCAAACCTTTGAAGTATTTTTAAGAATTTTTTTTTGGCAAATTAACAAATGAAAGAGTTAGTTCTGATTATATGTTAATTCATTTAATTTTTTTTTTTGACAGAAATTTGTTGAAAATGATGCATGAACAAAAACTCACTCTGTCCATCCTGTAGAGATGTTTCAACAAGTTGGCAGTAGCTAATGGAACCAATTAAGAAAACATTTTAACTTCATCTTTTTAATATCTGTGCATCTGTGGAACCAGATAAACTGATTTGTTTAAGTTTTTCATCTACACAATTTGTTTTACTTTGATCAGTGCTGCACATGGGCTCTTCCATCATTTTCAACCGCGCTCTGTGTTCAAGGTTTATTAAGAAGCAGGGCCTTGACCGTCTCTTCCATGAGTGTGACAACCACATGTGGCGTCTCGGGGAACGCAACATCCCAGAAGGCCTGGAGGTCTCAGGTGGCTCTGATTGGTTTGCGCTCACCCGCCGCTTCGTGGAGTACGTCATCAACTCCCAGGATGACCTGGTGTCAGGGCTGAAGCAGTTCTATTCCTATGCTCTGCTCCCCGCTGAGGTAAGTAAGCCTTAGGTGGTCTGTTTATCTCCCGTAGTTGAGACAGACAGTTTGATATACAAGTCTGTCTCAGGCTTGTCCTCCCCTGCCAAGTCAGAAGAGCCTAGCAGCGGAGATAATGTAATACTTTAAGCTTTCAGACGCAGCGTGCTGCAGAGGTGCCAGACGAGAGGAGGGTTCACTAGAGTTTATCTGACTGTGTGGTTTAATGTCTCTGTGGAGGAACAGCAGTTTCCTCGCTGTTGTGCTATACAGACATAACCTTTTGTAATTTAGAGCGGGTTAAAAACTGTTTATGCCTACCTTTGACAGTTTACAGAAACTTCATCCCTTTGTTTCATTGCGGAGTGCAGCATAAATATTGTATTTACCCCTCCACTTTCTCCCCAGTCTTTCTTCCACACGGTGCTGGGGAACAGTCATATGTGTGACACCCTGGTGGACAATAACCTGCGTGTCACCAACTGGAATCGTAAACTGGGCTGTAAATGCCAGTACAAGCACATTGTCGACTGGTGTGGCTGCTCTCCCAATGATTTCAAACCGCAAGACCTCATCCGTATTCAGGTGAGTGAGTCAGCTCATGAACATTTTTTTTTTTTTTTTTCGGCTTAAAGCTTCTCTCTCACGTTTATTTTACTGCTAGTTTGGTTCAGCGTCTTAAAGGCTCATTTTGCTATTTTCTCTTTTCTCATCCACAGCAATTGACCCGACCAACATTCTTTGCTCGTAAATTTGAGTCAACAGTAAACCAGGAGGCCATAGACATCCTGGACACTCACCTCTATGGCCAGTACGCTCCGGGCACCATCGCTATCAAGGCATACTGGGAATCCCTGTTTGAGCAGTTGGATGGCGTCGGCTCTCTCAGTGACGTGGCTCTCACTGCTTATACTTCTTTCTTTCGCCTGGGCCTGAAGAATCTGGCGACCACTCAGAGCAATGTGGAGGCCTGCAGGTAGACAGTCTGTCTTTTTACTGTAACTGATATAGAAAATGTATTTTCTTATTAAACATACATTTCTTTCATATGTTATGCAATGAGTTATTTATATCGTCACCTCAGGTTTGAACCAGTGGGCTACCCTCTGTTGGTACACTTGTACTTTTATGATGACCGTTTCCAAGGGTACCTGGTGCGTCAGGAAGCCCAGGCTGTGGGGTCAAAGGTCAGGGAGACACTGGAGATGTGGGCAGTGCCCCAGGCCTCCCTCGTCCTCGAGACGAACCTTAAAGAGTTTGAAAGGCTCAAGAATCTGGAAGTAAGTGCCCTCTGAGGTAGTAGCTTTTACTTTACACTCTTCATTGTTCTTGGGGTGTGTGACTTATGATAGATGCTTATTCTTTATTATGTCGTTAAAGTTTCTATCCTGCAACTTTAAAGATGAATTTGCCTAAGAAAATTGCTGTGTAGAAAGATTTTCTTCCTGATATATAAAAATTGGGGTTGTATTATCAGGGCTTGATCTGACCACAACCGAACTTTGAAGTTTAATCAGTTTTAAAAATATGTTAATATTGGGAGGAAGGCTAGTGCAGAAAGTGCTAACATATTCAATTACCTTGTCCTCAAATAGCTCACTGCAGACTGTGAATCTTTTGGTCTTTCTCCCTGACAGATCGGCACAGAGTGGGATCCTAAGGAAAGAATCTTCCGTAACTTTGGTGGGGTGATTGGGCCTTTGGATGAACCCCTAGCAGTCCAAAAGTGGGCCCGTGGTCCCAACCTCACAGCCACTATTGTGTGGCTTGACCCAGCGCTGGTAGTGGCAGCATCATACGACATTACAGTGGATGTGGATGCTGAGTACACCCAGTACAAACCGCCGCTGCAGCGCCCCCTGCGGCCTGGGACCTGGGTAGTACGGGTGTTAAAGCAATGGGAGCGCGTGGCAGAAGTTCGCTTTCTTGTCATGCCGCTAACCTTCAAAGATAAGGAGCCACTACGCAAAGGTGAGACGGGAAGTTAGAGCTTTTGACTTTCAGTATGTAAGTTTAAATGATATGGCTCATGATATTATATATTTTTCTTCCCAAAACTCATGAAGAGACCAAAACACACTCTCACTCTGCCTGTTGGTTCCTACTGAAGACACAAATATTTTGATTGTTGACAAAGAAAGAAAAAAACATACCAGACGTAATTGAAGGTTTTAATTTTAATATGTGAGAATTCATCTGCAGTGTTGTATTGGATCTTTTAAAAGTCCCTTTCCCCTTTTCAATTTCTCCAGAAGAGGACAGCTGGCTCCATGTAGGTCCTCCAGGGAATCAGTACCTGGAGCAGAGTTTCCAGCAGCTGAGCTCCATGTTGAAGCTGCCTCCCCAGGAGTCTGCCATGCAGGAGGCCCAGCGTAACGCCCAGCTTGTGGGTCAGGCTCTTGAAGCTTGGGTGGACAGCAGTGTGAGGAACTTCTGGGTCACAGGTGACCTGTGCACCACGCAGACTTCATCCTGCCCAGCACTGGGACCTTGCTCCAAAACCTCCTGGAGCTCTCTGTCCCCAGACCCCAAGTCTGAACTGGGCCCAGTCAAAAGTGATGGGCGGATCAGGTAGCCCCAAGAGAGGAGGGTTTGTAGACTTTAACACATACACAGGAAGACTGAGAGAGAGCTGGACCTACACTGGAGAGCTCCAGCAGAACCTGTGTGAACCGGATATTGTCCCCAAGGTCTGCTCAGAGCTCAAGGGCACATAAACAGGGAGCTTCCTGCACTGAGGAGTCAAGATATCCTTAGTGAAGTGGTACTATAGACTTAAAAGAAGAGGATATGACTGCTGGAAAATTTGCACATAGAAGATTGCAAGCGGAAAGCTCTTGTGTCATTGTTTGCTCAATGGTTCCATGGATGACAGATGTATTGTTGTTATTTTGCTGGCACACAGGTTTTCAATCGGGGTCAGTCTCGGTCGGAGTCCGAAGACAACCCTGTGCACAGTTTTCAGTTTTCCTCTGCTTTGAAAGAATCAGAAAGCAGTTGTCAAAACTCAACAACAGGCTCCTTCGCTGTGCTTCTATCTTCATTTCAAGGGAGAGTGGAACCTCTGAGTCGTATTATTGTGCTTATTTTGAAGCATTACTATGTAAGCATATGGAGCAGTCAGCTGAAGTGCACTTTACTGTAAGACTGTGATGTTACGCAGAGGTCACTCGGTCACAGTGTGAGGAGCAGAAGTTACAGAGTCATGGATAAGGTCACATCACATCTTCATTTTACAGTAGGCTCTAAGACAAATACCTGCACCATGACTCCCTGTTGCACAGACACATCAGTAACTTGGGTTAGGAAGAAATAAGGAAAGAGAGTGAGTGGGGTATTTAGGTTTCGAGTCGTCCTAATTTTTAGTTCTGTTTACTGTGACATCATTTTTGAACATGTAATTTTTTTATGTATTTGTCTGTTAGTTTCCTGATGTGGCTGTTTAAAGTGTTAGGTTGTCTTTGATGTCCATTGTTGCAAAAAAAAAAAAAAAAAGCCTCTCCGAGTTGTTTTCCTGGTCATAGGAAGTGCCTAGACAGCTGCAGCAACAAGGCTGCAGAGACAATGTGGTTACGTTCAAAATTCCTGTGAAAAAGTTGATAAAAACAAACTCAACTCAACAGGTGCACTGTTTCATGACAGCTGGGCGGAGGAGGATTTGTGGTGTTGTCAAAAGCTTCAGAACAAGCAAGTAAGTGGACCTTGAGTTGAGTTTGTTTTGATAATTGATGTGACAATGCTCAGATCTTCAGAAATAATTTGGAGCTGCAATGAGTAGTCGATTAATTGATTGGTCGATCAACAGGAATCGTCAATGTTTTGATTATTATCAAATGATTATTGAAGTCATATTTCAATAAAAATTCTAAACTAATCATTAGTTGAAGTTGAAAAACAATTTAGTTTCGCTCTTTGGCTCAAAATTTTGCTAAAGTAAAGCCAGTTTTGCAAAGTGAAGAGAATTTGGATGAAACTTTAAAGGAAAAGTTTGACATTTTGGGAAATACACTTTCTTGCTGAGAAAATTGATACTAATCTCATGTCCATACACTAAATATGAAACTACAGCCAACAGCAGACTAAGTTAGCCTCGCACAAAGACTGGAAACAACCTAGGTCTGTCCACAGGTAACAAAATCCACTAGCTCCTGTAAAGCCCACTTATTTGTTAAATATGTGTAAAAATGACAACTGGTTGTTTTATGTGGGGAGTTTTTCTTTCTTGGTCGGAACCAGTAACGTGGCAGAAACCTGCCAACCGTACGTAAAACGACTTTTTTTTTTTTTTTTTTTACTCTGGTTGTGTTCAGATTAAACAAACAAGATATTTTAATTTCTAATTTGTAAGATTTAGAGATGCTTGGTAGGCAGATTTTATTATCCTTGAACAGAGACAGTGTCGCCATTTCCTAATGTTTCCAGACAACACAGCACATAAGTGTATTTAACAAAATGTCAATGCTTTCCTTTGAATGCAAAACATTCAAACTGCAAACCTGGTTAGACATTATATGTTATACCTCCTGTGTATTAGTTTAAATGCAGTATTGTCACTCGTGTGTGTGTGTGTGTGTATGAGTGTGAGTGCATGTGCGTGCGCTCTGTTTGCCTCACTGGTTGGTTATTCTCATTTCATTTCTTAAGGTGCATTTCAAGTTTTCAAATCCACCAACCAAAAAACGGTACACAGTACACTGTTTTTATTTTACCGTGATCAAGAGAATCTAAGCTGCCTTTACTTAGCCGAAAAGATGAATGGTTTATACGGGATAATAGCTTCCAGAAATGTGCAGATTCATGCCTTTTCAGAGGACAGTAAACCCCCTTATCTGTGTCTTAGTCTTTATCTAGTTTTATGTGATCTTTTATGTACTTAAATAATAGTTGGCCACCATATGAGTTTTCAAGTGTCCTTGTTTACCTTGCACAGTACAGCTGCTTCAGTGAAGCCCCAGTTTTATTGAGATAAGAGATCAGAGTAATCCATTTAACAGATGTTATTTTTCTACACGTTATGAGAGGAATTGTGTGTTGTCCGTTCATTTCCAGTACCCTGTTAAACTATTAGAAACTGCTGACTACTTGTGTTGTAAATGACACTCCACCTGTTCAACGTCATTTGAAGCAGAACTTCTGTTTTGTTTTTGTTTATCTCGGAGGGGGTTGGGATGTTGAGGTTTCCGTCCGTGCTGCTGTGATAACCAGCAGCAGTCTGGTGGCTGGTGAGTCATCCTGGGCTCTGTGGCTCTTATCTGAGTAGAGAACTTTAGCCTGTCGCTGTATGCCTCTGGAAAAGCTCATAGGATACGCATCCTGACTGGTGACTCAATAAAAAACACTTACATGAAGGTTTTTGTTGTGCTATTTTCCTTTCTTTGCATGTCTACATTGTCTATACTGTTTTTTAAAAAGCAGATGGAGGGGGTCGGACATGTTTATGAGGAGAAGAGCCTCTCTCCAGGGTGCTGAACATTTCCTCCTTGATACTTCCTTGTAAAACTGCTTGACATGATTTTACTTCATAAATACTGTAAGCTACACCTTCGTGTTGGTCTCAAACCGGAACTCTTTCATATAAATATTTAGTCAGGTTTGTGCGCGCTTATCCACATGATTCAATGTTATTGGGCGTCTTTGTTGAGCATATAAACCCGCACAAAAGGAGGGAGAGAGTTGAGGAGCGACAGGCTGGGGAAACGAAGAACCAGACAAAAACAAAAGAAGAAGTTTAAACATTTAGTTTATTTTCAGGAGTTCATCTGCCCAGAAAGTCTCAGCGAGATGGATGATACCTGTGCGACACAGAGGCCGGAGGAAATGAGGATGGTTTGCTCAGACAGCGCGTACGGGTCATCTGCGGTGGAGACGGACACAGAGGATGGACAGACACCCACATCCAATACCTTCCCTTATAATGAGGATCTAACGCATAAGGTGATTTCTTTTGTGCTACTTTTGATGAGGAGTTGTCCAAAAATTCATTCTAATGCCAAAAATATTCTTTTTTTATTGTAGGTCCAGTTTTTATCTTCAAGGCACTGGACTTTAACCTCTATTTCTGATGAGTTACCTTGCCTGGTAAATATTATGATCTGTAAGATCTCTGGTTTTAGTAATTCACTCCATTTGAGTCTATATGCCTTATACTTTTGTAACTGTACTCCATATGATGCCAGCTACAATAATTAATATCCATACCAGATACAGTAAACCAAGGGTCCCCATAAAGTTTAATATTAAAATCAATATAAATGCATCATGAAGTAAAAAGTAATTAATTATGTATTGATTAATTAAATAATTGGTGACTTTATTAAATTATATCTCATTACTATGAAACGTTATTTCATCATTCATTAATAACTGTTTTATCAATATAATTATTTTCAAGTTTTAATGCTCTTTTTAAAAAGTCCCTTTTTAATTCTTACTGGCATTTGTCTTAATGACACTTAATAAAGTAATTTTTCATGGCAGCGCTGTGTCCCCTCCCCGTCACATTTCAGCCCCTGCCTCCCTCAAGCAAGCTGAGTAACTGTTGAAAAGTGTAGCCACTTAGTTTCTGTGAAGTACTTGCATTACTTAATTACTGCATGATTACTTATTTATTTACCTATTGCTTAGTTATTTATTTATTTAATATTGAACACTTTGGGGCTCCATAGTATCATCCAATCACTGGTTTCCTGGTGTCCCCGGTGTCCCTGGTGTCCCATTAAAATAAAGCAGCTTCTCAGTGTGACCCCTCATGAAAAACTTAACTATACTCTATGAGTCCATAGCTGGTCAGCCACACTGATTTTACCCTCTCAAATGATTAGTTTTAGTATTTTAAGGAGCCCAATGGCAAAAGCGCCATGTTGGGAACCACTGGTATTCTCTGAGCAATTTATTAGGTACACCTGTGCAATCGAATGCAATCTTATAGAACATCTCTGTAATAAACCCTACCACTAATGAGTCTTCTCCAGGTTATATGACCTCAGAAATTACCACGTACTTGAATCAACAGTTTTCTGACAGTGTCACAAAAAGTGAATACTCTAAGCTTAACAAAGACATTAAGCACTATTGTTTTGTATTGCATTGGATTGTAAAGGTGTACCTAATAAACTCATCATTTATATTTAGTCCATGAAAAAACATGAAACCAACTTCTGTTACTTATGTAAAATCAAGAATGATTATTACCAAATGACAGCTGCTTTCAAACACACATTTCTTAGATTCTTACAGAATAACACAACAGTTCAGTAGTTTTGGTGTTTACAGATAAATCTCAACAACACTGACTGGATGTTTGACCATCAGCAGATGTTTAAATGTAATTCTGTAAACAGTGCCTCACGCCTCTGAGTTGAGTGTGTGTGTGTGTGTGTGTGTGTGTGTGTGTGTGTGTGTGTGTGGGTGGGTGATTGGCTCACATTAAAATCCTCACCTGGATTAGCTTCACCACAGTTACACCACCATCGTTTAGTACATCATTGGTATTCATGACTAAAATCTTGTTAATCCTCTGTGTATCACATGCAGCAAATCAGCAGCTTCCTCACTCAGATGCACAAATCCACACACACACACGCACACACACACACACACACACACACACACACACACACACACACACACACACACACACACACACACACACAGTCATGTTTCCATCCCTTCAGAGGACATTACATCAACTTACATTGAGACCTACCCTAACCATAACCATGATATGCCTAGCCATAGCCCTTACCTTAACCCTAACCTTAAACCAAGTCTTCACCCTAAGATAATAATTATTTATAATTATTTACATTATGGCCATTTGCTTTTTAAAAATAAATAATAAAAATAAAATTGGGTCCCTGCATGCACACACAAACATACACAGATTATATTACAGCAGTGGGTTACATAGCATGTTCCAATATCACATAAAAAGCATTGCCTACTTTTGGGACAGTAACTGTTCTGATATCTGACAAACAAAAAAACAGGTTTAATAAAACAACAAGTCTCCACTGGAGATGTGCAGGATCAGTTTAACCTTTTTTCCTTTTTACCCTACACTGGTAACACTCACTTTCAAATTACTGACAAATGTTCCTCTACAGACTCACAGACGTTGGATGTTATTGCTTCACCACTGCAGCAATTGTAATGATTTGATCCCTTCATAAACCTCAAGACGCCCCAAAAACTCATCTGTGCAGTATTTGTAAAATAAGTGGTGCATTGTGTGCGAGCCTAGAACAGGCTCCTGCTTCCTCAGTAATTAAATTTGTGGTTATTTTTGTCGTTTTGCCCAGTTACACCATGCCAGAAAACTACACAGTGTACTAAGTGCAGATGGCTCCAGCTTTTTGCAGGCTGAAATGGGCCAGTTGGCCCTCAGTTATCTGAATAGCCAGAAAACTTTTAAGCGCTCTTATGAGAAGCTGTGTCAATGAGAAACTAGAAAATAAATAGAAATTTCTCTTGTCTAGTCTAAAGCTGTTCATTAT